CAGTTCTAGCTCAGACGGATGACATAGCTTCAATCATGTGGATCACAAATGTATTAATATATTTATATATATTTATATATGTAGTATGCAGACATTCAAGTCGTCACAAGCCTTTGCTCGCCCATTTTGCTGGGCAGTTATCAAAAGCAGCCCTGTAAACTGAACACTTTCCCACCACTTGCCCACTGGCAGCCCACTGGCAGCCCACTGGCAGCCCACTGGCAGCCCACTGGCAGCCCACTGGCAGCTCATATATTATTAAGTGAATATAATATTTTCAATCGGTCGATAGCTCATCGATTGCCCGATGCTCGATGGTCGATGCTTGAGGCACAGGAAGTAGGAGACAAGACAGGCGACACATGTTGCATGTCACCTTTAATAATTGGATGTACACAACGAGAAAAACGTTGTTCGAATCGAATATTAAATAGCAAATGTTGTACTTAATATAAAAGGAAAATCTTCCAGCTTATAATTCAAGAAGTTCAATTTTTGATTCACTTTTAATTTGATCAATATTGAGAATGTGAACTGCGTTTCTCATATGAATTGAGCACAAAGTTGTATAATATTTTTCTCCGAGTGAATATGCACCGAGTACAAAACACCCTCCCTCCCCGAACCCTATCAGGATACACGCTCTGTCACGTGCTTATTTACTGTATTTTTTTATTTGTAGTTGTTGCTTTAATATTGTTCCTTTGGCTGCCCCCTTAAGTCAGTGTTGCGCTGCTGTTGTGTTCTGTGGAAACTCGGGGGGGAAAGTCCTGGGGCCTCAGCCAGGGTGCTGGTACTCGTTTGCTAATTGAATAATAAAATACGCTTGCCAATGGAAGCACTTATGCAACTTGTGGCGGTGTTCATAATTTTCATTTGTCCGACTTAATTGAAAGCTTTAATGACAGAAAGTGGAACGGCTAACGGCAAATGAGCAATGAGTAATGGGTGGTTAATATGGGGTGTGTTGAAAAGAGGTGAAGTATGGAGGGGCTGGTGGCAAAGGAAAATGATTTCTGAGATTCGCCGGAAGGACCCTAAGGAGTTTTCATATTGACAGTTACGTGGAAAATGATTTATTCGTGCCTAACACATTTCAATTAAATTGGTAATTTTGAAATGATGTAAGAAAAGCAATAATTCATGAGAAATATGCAATTTACAAATGGAATCCCCAATAAACTCACTCGATAATGAGCACCTAAAACTTAAAGCACCCAATCATAATGAATACCTCATCACTATTTGAGTTGCAAGAAGAAAAAAAAGAAAATAATAATACTGAAATGGATAAGTTACGACGTATGTATATTCAAGCAGAGAAATAATCAATTTCTCATTCCCACATATGGACTCCATCCATATTAAAGGTGCCAGGCGTATTTATAGCTGTGATATTTATTTTTAAATATGTTGTAAAAAAAAAGAAGGGCAACAGATAGGCTTTGATGATAGCCGGGCGCGGTCGAAGCGATTAAGAGGAACGATGAATGAAATGTTTTTTTTTTTCCCTCTTATTTTTTTGTCACCAAATATTAAAAGCACGTTTCACAACGCCCATATAAACATGTGATGTTTTGGGCAAGGGGGGGCAGACGAAGGGTTCCCGCCAATCGATTGCAAAAAAAAGTAATAATAATAATAAAAAAAAAGAAGAAAATGTTTAAAATGAAATTCATGGACGAATTGATTGGTTTTCCAAAATGGAAATATATGTATGTGTGTACATTAAGCGAGTGTTAGATAATGTTGTAGATAAAAACTCCACACACACACACACAAGCCCCAAGGATGGGCCTGGTGCCGCAAGGGGTAACGGCGCGGAAATGTATGTGAATGAATGCAGCTGAGCAATGAGCAATGAGCACTGAGCACTGAGCAATGAGTAAAAGACGACAGAGCTCTGGGCATCTCGACTGATAGCAGGGTACACAGAGAGAAAAGTGTCGAACCACATTGTAAATCGAGTAAGCCAACCCAGATATAAACACCTTTCACTCAATATAAGCACAACAATTCTGAATAAAAACAAACAAACCAAATCAAATTTGAATTTTTTCTTTGAAAACAATGTTTTGTGCAAAGACTTAAGCGTAAAATATTTGTATTTTGTATGTGTAATAAAACCAAAATTGTTGAATAAATTGGAAAATGTATTTGCATTGGGAGCTGAACAAACTTTACTTCACACTGAGAGTTCTCGTAATATTCTCATTTGTCGAAATACTAAAATACCTTCCTAAAACATTATTCGATTTATTTTCTTTTCGTGTAGTATCCTTGGGGGGGTTGGGGGCAGGTGATAGGGATGTATTTTTGAACAGGAATGTGCGAGCCAACACAAAAGGCAGAAATGTCGAAAGGCAGTCGGCTGCCATTGTTATTCACAATTGTTGTTGCTCGTTGTTTGACATATTTTGTAATTGAATTTCCAAAGAGCATTGGAATTGAAAGGCGAATACAGCACAACAGCTGGGGTCGGTCAATCAGTTTTGGGGGTGCCTGGCGGGGCCAGGGGGTGGGGCGGTGGGGTTTTGAGGAGGTGTGTCGCTAGTTTGTTAGCCAGGACTGCATCAAACACAGACAGAGATAAGAGTCAAACAGCGCAGCCTGTTGCTGCTGCTTGCTGCCTGTTGCTCCTGCTGCTGCTGCTGCTGCTGCTGCTGCTGCTGTTGCTGCTGCTGCTGCTGTTGCTTTTGTTCGCATGTTCTGATGACAGAGGAAATGAATTTATTGATACCCTCACAGAAGTGGTCATAATACAATTTCTCACTAAACGTGCAGCATCTGCAAAAGCATTTATATTATGCGAAAATCAACGAATCGCAAGCCTCATCAAGCATTCATCTGCTTGAATAAATGGCATTTATATTTGTTAAGAGACCTTAAACTTTATACAATTTATGGGAGGTATTTGAATTAATATATATCACTGAATTTGTCAGATTAATTAAGGCAAGCAAACCACGAAGACCAAGAAGTCACCTATCTAAACTAGGTCAGCAGTCAGCAGCCAACGCTATGAATTTTATATTAATAGGAAAAGAAGAAAAGGAAAAGGCCAGAAAAAGATGTAATATCCGAGGGAAACATGAGAACCTCAACTCAACTAAGTTTCCAACGTGCCTTAAAAAGCTGCAAATTTTACTTATTTTTTTAAGGTGTTCGCTTCTTATTTTGTTGTTATAATAACAAAAATAACTGAATCAATTCTTGTGTTGTTCCTTTTAAATTGGAACTGATATAATACTTAAAATTGATTTGAGAACCGTGTCAGCTTATATATATATATATATATATATATATATAATGCCTGACTGCCTGGCTTCCTATTTGTCTGTCTGTCAGTCATGGAAGGGTAATTGCATTTCTCTCTCGACAGATTGACAAGGAATGCCAACGTAATTGAATTGTGACCCAATTTATATATATATATATAAATGCGTGTGTGTGTGTGTGTGTGTAGGCATTGGTGCGTATACATTTGTGTGCTCATCCTGTTTAACTCTCTCTCTCTCTCTCTCTCTCGCTCTCTTTCTGTCTGGCTCACCTGCATCCTGTTGCTCGTTGCGCTGATAGCGCTGGCAATGCTGATGCAGGCTGGCAAAATAGATGGCCAGCGCACCGATAGCCGCACCAAGGACTGTAAAGGCTATGGCCAGGACAAGCAGTCGGCGTCGCTGTTGCGCCTCCTTCAGCAGCAGCCAATCGCTGGCAACAGCCGGCGATGTCGTTGTGGACGCCGTCGTCGGCGTTGTCCCTGCTGTGACCACATTCCGTTGCAGGGCGCTGCCAACGGCGCCGCTGCCGTCCGGACTGAGAAATACAACTGTTGGTAATTTATGTTGTTGTTGTTGCTGCTGTTGCTGCTGTTGTTGTTGCTGCTGTTGTTGTTGCTGCTGTTGTTGTTGCTGCTGTTGCTGTTGCTGTTGTTGACCCAGCAGCGGTGAGACTACCGTTGCATTCAGTTCGTCCAGTGCACTCGACTGCAGATACCCATTGTTAAGATTCGTCGTCGTCGTCGTGGTCGTCGTCGCTGGCGGCGGCAAGTTGTCGCTGGTTGATTTGGTGGGCGTGACCAACATATCGTTCTGGCGCTGGCCTTTTATCTCAATGAATTATTGACACGCTGCTTGTGTTTAATCAACCACCTGTGCACGGCTTCACAGTTGTCACTGCGTCGACAGCACTGCAAAAAAAAAAAGCATGATATTAAACGGTCACATTCGCATTATAATATCAATCACATGTCACATGGACACAAGAAAAAACAACAACAGCAAAAAAAAAAACAAACAAAAAATAGATGAAAACGGGGCACGTGGAACTGTGGAAATTCCAACTAATCGTCCAATTTATAACTAAACTATCTATCAACTAACATTGCTTGCAGCTTGAGCAGCATAGCACAACATTTTTCAATACACAGGGCATCTGTTAGTCGAGCATTCATATTACTCATGTCTAATTGACAAGCGGGAAGATAAGGTGCTTGGCTTGTTCGACCAGGGCAATTTTATTCGGGCATGTTGCCTTAATTTAATCGTTAAATCAATTTGAAATAAATTCAATTATTAAACAGCCGGCTGACACTTTGAATAAAAAGGTTTAACGGATTTTTTAAAGGGATTTAAATTACATTCTCGGATTCGAGCAGGAAAACTTGTCTATGGATTTACATGTGTGTGTGTATATATATATATATATATATATATATATATAATATAACTTTAAGCTATTTCGATACGTGAGATTAGAAAACTTTGGGTTTTGAGTGGATCGCCTTTTAAAATTGAATACTTTGCCAATAAGTTAAGCTCTACTTTTCTCAACAAAATAATTAAAATTGGGGAATTTTCTTAAATTATATATAACAAGTAAGATTTTTATTTGTGTAGAGAGCTCAACGTGGTGATATTGCCAATCCAAGTAATACACGTCTTAGATATTCGATTTCTATAGATTTTCTTTTGGCTTACGAGAACTTATGTTCCATAGTCTCGGAGACATACAGACTGACGGCTCGATTTGGCTTTTGATCCTGGCCATATTGTTGATTCTACAATATTCAATATTCACTTTAAGGAAGAGAGATGCTTCCTTCTGTTTGTTACATACTTTTGCACAATTTCATTAGACTCGTTTTACACATCTTCAATTGGATCAGACTATGAAAAGTATTTGAAGAAAAGAAAAATATTCGACGAGAATTGAAGTTTTGTAGAAATTGGAAATTCTTTGAGCGGCATCAATCGCACTATGAATTTGTTAAATTTCAAATCGATGACGATCACCGATGCTGATTTCATCTGCTGTGCTCCTTGTGCTCCAATCATATTTTGATTGGTGAAGTGTCTGTCTGTCCGCCCATCTGTCGATCATGGCCAACAACATGTTTTGTGGTGGGTCAGCAAACGGAGACGCCGCCGATAGAGAGATGCAAAAAGGTGATCAAATTTCAATTTTGTTGTTTCTTTTTTTTTTATAGTATTTAAATTTTAATTGAGATACAGAAGCAGATATTGCAAACAACACAAACATATATTAAAAAAAAAAAAAAAAAAAAAAAAAAAAAAAAAAACTTAAAACTAGTTCTGCGAGAACAGTGAATAAGCGTGGGCCGCATCTGCGCCGCAGCCAGCCAGGGTATATGGAGGCTACTGACTGCACTCAGAAAAAAAGAAAGTCGACTATTCCATATCTGCTCAAGTTCAAGTTAAGCACAAACGTTGCCAATAATGCCTAATAACCCATCCCAAGTATATGAAATATATTCCTTTCATGCAAGTATTCACCAAATATTAAAATGATTGCAAACAGTTCACATTTGAAAGAAGATATATTTCCTTTATAAGAAACTTAATTACTTGAATTTAAAAAATTGAAGATTTAATGCACAAAACTAAATTAAATTGAATCTAGAGTTAAAGTTTATATATTATATTAATACCATAAATGTTTCACACATATTTTAAACTAAAAAAAAAAAACAGACAAAAAATCAAAATGCGGCTTTCAATGAGTATTTTTTGGGTCTCATTTATCCAGCAGCAAAAGTCAATTTTGAAAACAATAATAATTTCAACTTATGGCTAAGAATAATCCAAGTCGAATTGTGCTTGAAATTTAAAGAAAAACAAAAACCAAATGAATTGAATTGAATACCGGTTGTACTTGAATGGAAATTGGAACAGCGTTTTTCTCTGAGTGTGCAAACTGGATGCGTGGAGACTTGGAGGCCGGCTTAGCGCACGCTCAACTGATCTCGTGATGATGATACTCATCTAAATACTAATTGCTCTTTTCGATTATGCAAATCTTAGGCTAATACTTCGGCTTGGCAACACACACAGCAACAACAACAACAATACTTTTTTACAATAGAAAAATAGAAGGAAAAAAAAACAAAATCCCTAAATTAAATTTGCATTGCTTATAACAAGTTGAGCATTTTTTCTGATCATAATTTTTAAATTTAATTGCTTTTTGTTTGAAACTAACTTAACAAATTAATTTATTTTGTTTTTTTGCTTTTGGCTTTTATTTATTTTTTTTGCTACTTTGTATTTTGTTTGATATTTTGCATTTTATTGGTTTTGTTTTTATGTGTTTTTTTTTTTGACATTACTTTTGTTGCTGTTGTCCACTTTATGATTGGTTGTTGTTATTGTTGACAGTTCTTAAATTTTTGTATCAGCGCTTTTTTAAAGCAACAGTTACATTTAGTTGCTTGTGTGTTGTGATGTGTTTGTGTGTGTGTGTTTTGCGCGGGTTAAGGGACGTATCGGTGTGTGTATTTTGTGCTTATTTGTTGTTGTTGTTGTTGTTTTTTTTTGTTTGTCGTGCCGCCAAACCGCGCGAGGCGACTACTCGTTACGAACTGAACGCTGTGAACTGTCCTTAGCTTTTAAGCAAGCAGCGCGGCCGTCGCCATCGCGGCCAGCGACGCCAGCGCACAGCGCTAACGGCAAAAACCGATTTGACAGCACCGGCCGCATAAAAAAGCTCTCTTTACTTTTCCACATTGCCTGTCGCCCCTTGCCTTATAACTTTTCAATTGAGTAAACGCGCAAAGGAAGTGCAGGCAAAGAAAGAAGGACACACACACACACACACACATGCACAATCATTCTGCTCACTTTGGCAGGTGTTGAGAACTATTTGGGCACGTTTCACAACACGCACGCAAAAATGCGGTGCCTCTGGCAGCCTGCCTGACGGCGCTGCGAACACGAAGACAACAAATAGGCAACTACAAAAACAAAATCCAAAAAGAATGCGCCATTTGCTGTGATTTTGCCATTCAATCATTTATCATTGGCATTATTATCGCTCGATCATCATGTCGTCGTCATTTACTAACAATTTTCGTGTTGTCCATTGGCCAAACACAAAAAAATTAATTACCGCCCGCTGGGCGATAAGACCATTATATATATATTTTTTTATATATATATGTATATATATGTGTATATATACATATTTTAGTATTTTTATGTACATGTCTTTCGCCACAGATTAATCATACTCGAAAATTAATATTAGTGCAAGTAGTACTTGAGACGCTTGTGGTCATTTCATATATGATATGATATGTTTTGATTTGACTTGATTGCGTTGATTTCGTTGTTTTCCCATTTCTGGTTTTTGTTTCGGATTTGGACTCCCCAATTGAAAACAATTCAAAATGCACGATATTAGATGCAACAGGTTTATTTGATATATCGATATTGGCCATTTATTTAAATTAGTTTGTAAAAAGAATATATTTGATAACTCCGTTTATTTTTTCCCATTTTATTTTTTCTGTTTTCTTTGCTCGTATTCCAAATGAACGCAATTACTTTTACAATTTTTCAAACGCGTTTGGTTTTGCAATATAGGCAATATTGTATTCTACTTATTCTACTTCTTACTGTAACTGTATGCATTAGTTCTTTATGGCCAAACTGTTTCAAAACTTGGTTAATAAATTGCTTACGGATTGCTAAGGATTCTTACGAGATTTTTAAGCCATGAACTCACGTGTCCAGAACATGTGCTTAGCTTGAGCGGGCAAACCGTGCTTCTAATCCAAACTGCTTATTATTTAAATACGTCTTTAAATGTTTGGCCCTGTGCGTGTGTGTGTGTGTGTTTTATTTTTATCTACGGTCAGCTGCGATAACGGGTCTTATAGAAATTCTGCTGCGAATTCCATAAATAAAACTGTCATTAATCGATCATTGTGCGCTTTAAGCTCCCCATACGGCATAACGGCATTTAAAAAGCTGCCAACCAACAGGTGGCGTGCTAAAATGAAGTAAAGTTTGTTTTTTTTCGGTTGCGTGCGACAGTGCAACAAATCACAAATACAAAGTTCCAAAAAAAAAAAAAATGAATGTGTTTGTTTTAGGGGTGTGGGTGGGGGCAAGAACCGTTAGGTCGGCATTACCTCTGATTAGTTTTTGGCGCAATAAACAGCTGGCACGTGCGGCGGCGCATTTTCCGGCGCCATATGCTAGTCGAACAACAAACGCTTTTCAGGACCTGCAAAGCACTGCAGCAAGGATAACACAATGAGCACAACACAAACAAACAAAAATTTCAATAAAAATATACATAAGATTTTGTCCGTGTTCTACACGATGTAATTTATTTAATTTGTTCACAGTTTAACTAACTATTTATATTGATAAATTATTTGTAACGGGTCCGTCACTTTGGTTGCTCGTTGCGCGACTAAAAAACATATGAATTTTCGTACATGCACAAAGCCAAGTTAAGCAGACGGAATGCCAGGCGTTAAGCCAACGCCGCCAATGTCGACCAAAACTTCCAACTTACGCCCCAGTTAGGGGCCGGCATGGGCGGCCAGCCGCTTCTGAGTTGTGAGCTTTTGACCGCCCCCAAAAAGCTTATTTTGCAAACACCTACATTTCCATACTTATTGACGTGCCCATTGCATTTGTTTGAGAAATGCTGCAAAATAAGAAATATGTTTTGGTTTCTGTTAGCTTTAATTATTTGCATATCTTTCAATAAACCGGTTCGTTTCTTTTTTTTTATTTTTTTCAAATTACTGTCGGTTTCAATTTGGATTTTTGTTCGTTCTCTTTGAACTAACCGTTTTTCAACCAGTATTTTTTTTTTTTGACTTTTAGTCACAGACAGACAATTTGACAGATGTTTTAAGTGCATTTTCACATCGACTAGAAACAGTTATCGACTATTTCCGGAAATTACACTAAGTGTATTTTTGTTATGCACAACGATTGTTTGCTGTTGCAAGCAAACGTAACGGTAAAATTATAAAGTGTCTAAAGTAAATAAATAAGTCGACACATTAAATTCATGCGTATCAAACGAGCGATATTAATCGACAATTTTGCATTTGATTTGAATGGCTAATTCAACGATTAATAAGTATACTCAATTACGGCCGAATCAAATTAAGACAATTAATTATTAACTGAAACTAAAACAAGTAATTGTTTGCAAGTAATTCATATAAAAAATATATTAAAAATTTACCAATTGAAAGCGGCACATATGTAACTTTGCACCTGCAATTAAATTAAAAACAGAATATACACGATTATTAAAATTGATGAAGCTATACTTTAAATGAAACAATCAACATTTCCAGTTAGGAATTCGACTTTATGACTTGAGTCTCAGATAAGAAAGTATCTAGAATTGTCACTCAAGTTAGTTCAATTTAGGATAGCTCAATTTCGAAGTAAAGTCGCTATAATCAGTATCGGTGTCACCTACCATCATTTCAGGTAAACCATAGTTGGGGACGCAGCGCACTGTGCGTAGCACACGAAGGAAATACTCCTGTATTTTACTGCTCGTTCCTTTGTTCCAGTCGGCATGTGCTTTTTGATTGTGATGCGTGTTGATGATCAACGAGAAGCTGCGCACCAGCACAAATAAGTCCGCCACACTACCGGCGTTGCTCATCTGCATCCAGTCAACGAGCTTGACCATTTCGAAGACCTCAGTGATCTGCGATTGGCAAAGATTAATGACTGTTTTTTTTTTGTTGTTGTTTTTTTTTGTAGTGCTGAACTATGATTATCGGTTTTGATTAAGTACGTACAATATCAGTATTGGTATGCTTCCTTGGCACACCCGAGACCTTGACGAATGTGGCCATCAGAATACTCATCGCAATCTGGCAACTGAAGTCATCCTTAATAATGAGCATCGACAGGGTCTGTTGCATTTGAACGACTTTATCCAAACGCTCCATGCTCTTGCCAATTACAAATCTATCACATAGAACAGTGCCAATAAATTCGACGCCATCGGGTGGCAAATCGATGCACAGTTTAGACACAGCGTCCAACAGCTCGGAACGGTAACCCATGCAATCTGTTTCCATTGGCTTATACGACTGCATTAAGATGCCAAGATGATAATGATCGATCAGTTCAACCAGTGTCAACTCGTCTATTCCGGATGTGGCGTCAATAAAACGCTGGAATAGCTGCAAAATAAATGGAACACCTTTATGCATATATCAGAAGTCCGTTCTAAAGCATCATTTTTTGCATATATGAAAAAAAGTGTTCACCTGTGCCGTGCTGAGAGTAGCCAAATCAACTGATTTGAAGGTTGAGCTAGCCAGAAAGCTCTTTAAATCATCCTCTGTGTAGCCCCTTTTTGGTGTCATCTTTACGGGCTGAAGCATTAACTTTATTTTATCCCCCAGTTCTGGATCAATCTCATCAGTGCGGTTGTTGTTGTTATCATTATTCCATATCTTGCTTGATGATTTTCCTGTCGCCTCTTCAACGTGTGAACAATTGATCACTCCTGCTGCTCCCGAAGTTGATGCAACTTTGCTGGCTTGAGTATGATTATGTTGCTGCTCGGACTTTTGAGATTTGGCAGCCTTAGGATTAGCTGGTGGATCGATAGCTCTTGTATTGGATTTTTTCTCGGTTAGGGCTTTATTTGCCATTGACCGAGTCTGAGGGCCTTTTTTTGGTGGCATCTCACTTTTTCTTCTTTTGCTTAACAAAATGCTTATTTCGCTTATTAATTATAGACGTTTTTGCTTAATTTCAGTCCTCCTGTCAAATGCTAAAAGCAACTTGAATTCGAGCAACTCAGCGAGCAATGCTTGATATCGCCGGGAACGACTTATCGAGCATTTCTTTTCAAGCGTTGCCACATAAATGCACTAGTGTGAGTCTGGCAGCACCAGCTCAACACTGCTGGTGTGCGTGTGTGTGTATGCGTGTGTTTTTATATTTTCGGTTTATGAGCATGCCCTAAGTAATTGCAGCTTCCTTTTATAATAATCTTCGTTTGTTTTTGTAGGCTGTTTATTCGTACTGTTTTTGCCGCTGAAAGTGTGTAGTTAGTTTTCCTTCAATGTTTTAAGTTTTTAACTTGTTATTTAGTTGTTTTTAACTTTACTACCCGACAAGTTTTTCCCCTTTCTGGAAAAATGCTTAATTCGTACGTTTTGATAATACCGCTTTTATTAATACTACTGCTACTGCTGCTACAACATCATCTGACAACAGCTGATGCAGTTGCTGCCTGTAACAACGTGGATCGCTCTGACATCGAGCGCCGATTATCCACAAAGACACCATATCGTGCCATTGCCAATTATAATGATTCTTCGCCAAAATACGATGGTATGCCGCTTGTTATTGCCAAAAAAACGTGATTTTACTTTTGAATCTACGCACAGCTGTTTTTGTTTTATTCGCTGCACATGCTCATTCGTCGCATATTTGCTATTTTTATTTTGTTCAAGGTTGCCACCCGACGCGAGTTTGGGCCATAATACGCCATGGAACTCGAAATCCCAGCGAATCAGTTATTTTGCATGCAAAAAGACGACTAACTGAAATCAAGGCACTCCTTTTGAAACAATCGGAACCCAATTTCTGCGCAGACGAACTAAATCAGCTGCGGCACTGGAATTGGGACCACATCGATGCGAATGATGAAAAACTGTTAGTTGCCGAGGGCGAAGATGAATTAATTGAACTCGCCGAACGCATGCAATCGCGCTTTCCCAATCTACTGCCCGATATTTACAATCCAGAATGGTTCTATATGAAATACACCGCCACACAGCGTACGTTGAAAAGCGCTCAGAGTTTTGCAACTGGATTATTTGGACGGCATCGCATACACGCCATTACCTATCCAGAACCATTGCATCGTGATCCAGTTCTAAGGGTAAGTTCCAATACACAACTAGAAGTTCAATTTATATATTTATATAGATATAGATATCATAGTACTTAAGAAACGGGTTGACTCCTAATGAATGAATGTAAATACTCGATTTTTCGATTTTTAAATATGGCGGTTATAAAACGACGCAGTCTGGCAGCCCTATGCATACCAAATCAACGGTGGCCACGAATGAAAGAATAGGCATAATGGAAGAGATAGACGAACAAGCACATAAGCATACACAGCACACACACACACACACGCATATAGTGAAAAAGAGGAATACGAAGTGCCGCAAGTGCGTATTTCGTACTTAAGTCAGCGTGCGTCCTGTCAATTGCTACTCGACGCTATTCATTTCAAAAACAATTGTTTACGTCATTTTTGTTTCTGTGTTCTGTTATTTGTTGATTTGGGCAATTGAAAAACGCAGCAGCGCAACTCGGACAACGCCGTCGCCGTCGCCGTTGTGGTGAAGCTGCAAAATTGTTTGGTTATGTGCAGCAGCAGAAGCAGCAGAATTACCCGTCGTTGTTTTCGTCCTTCTCTTCGCCTACGTTTCAGTCGTTGTTGTTGTTGTTGCTTGTCGTCGTCGTCGATGTGCATGTGCATGCTGCTGTAATTACATAGACAATTTTTGTGGAATTGCAACAACAACAATTGCCAATAAATTTGTAAATATATACAGCATACACCCACACATATATATATATATATATAGTTAAATTTATATACATATATATTGTGATATATACATGTGCATAAGCATTAGCTTAATTTTGGTTTGCAGAAAACGGCAAAAGGATGGCGCTGCAATTGCCAATTTCGACGATTGCCACCAGAGAGCGCAGTAGCAGCAGCACAAGCAGCAGCAGTAACAGCAACAACAACAAGAGCAACAACAATAACAACAACAACAGCAGCAACAACACTGGCAACACCACTGCTGCCAGCAGCAGCAACAAGGTAACCTTGCTGCATGTCGTTGGTGACGAAGATGCACGTAAAATGCCAAACACTGCAGGCGCCACAGCAACAGCACGCAACTCCAAGGAGAAGCAAGTGCAAAAACAACAGCAACAACAACAACAGCAACAACAACAGCAGCAGCAGCAGCAACAACAGCAGCAGCCGCAACAACAGCAGCAGCCGCAACAACAACAGCCTCAACAACAACCTCAGCAGCAGCAGCAGCAACAGCATAAATCACAAACGCCGCTGCGTAAACCATTCCTAACTTATGTAAACCTATCCAACTGTAGCATCATTGAGGACGAAATGTGTCCATTGAGCTTCTCAGCGATGCGGCATCGGGAAGCAATTGTGCAATGGGCCTACCATCGTCACGCGTGGCGCATTCGGGAGCGCATGAAAACGGCCAGTGTTGCGCTCGTCCTCTGCCTGAACATTGGCGTCGATCCGCCCGATGTGGTCAAGATACAGCCATGCTCGAGACTGGAGTGTTGGATCGATCCCAGTTCGGTGTCGGCACCCAAAGCGATGGAGCAAATCGGTAGCAATCTTCAAATGCAATATGAACGGTGGCAGCCGCGTGCACGCTACAAGAAGTGTCACGATCCAACCGTTGAGGATGTAAAGAAATTGTGCACCTCGTTGCGTCGCAATGCGAAAGGTGAACGGATCCTGTTCCACTATAATGGCCATGGGGTGCCCAAGCCGACGGCAAATGGTGAAATCTGGGTATTCAATAAGACCTTCACACAATACATACCGTTGAGCATCTTTGAGCTAATCAATTGGATGGCGGCACCATCGATCTACGTTTATGATTGCTCCAATGCGGGCATCATCATCAACTCGTTTCAGCCCTTCGCCGAGCAGCATGAACACGAACTAGAGAAGGCACTGGCCGCTCAAGCATTGGCCGGTACACAGCTGGCCTCTCAGCTCGTTAGCTATAAGAATTGTATACATTTGGCTGCATGTGCCGCAAATGAGATATTACCAATGAATGCACAACTGCCTGCAGATCTATTCACCAGCTGTTTGACGACACCAATTAATATTGCCCTCAAGTGGTATGCGATGCAGGAAAAACTGGGCATGGTGCCGCGCATCCAAAGCGAATTGATTGACAAGATACCCGGCAAGGTGAACGATCGTCGCACCATGATGGGTGAGCTCAATTGGATATTTACGGCCATTACGGATACGATTGCATGGAATACGCTGCCGCGTGAGCTGTTTCAGCGTCTGTTCCGTCAAGATCTGCTCGTTGCCAGCCTGTTTCGCAATTTCCTGTTGGCGGAACGCATACTGCGTAGTCACGATTGTACACCAGTCTCGTTACCGGCACTTCCACCCTGCCATCGTCATGCCATGTGGAAGGCCTGGGATCTGGTTGTGGATCTGGCGTTGCAACAGCTGCCCGACATTTTGGAACAGCAGGCGGCATATCGTCAATTGCCCTTCTTTGAGCATCAGTTGACCGCGTTTCAGGTGTGGCTGGACAGTGAATCAGAGTCGCGTACACCGCCCGAACAGTTGCCGATTGTGTTGCAGGTGTTGCTCTCCCAGGTGCATCGATTGCGTGCCTTGGAGTTGCTGGCACGCTTCCTGGACTTGGGACCGTGGGCGGTCAATTTGGCATTGGGTGTCGGCATCTTTCCCTATGTGCTGAAATTGTTGCAGAGTTCGACGCGTGAACTGCGCCCCGTATTGGTGTTCATTTGGGCCAAGATACTGGCCGTCGATCCCAGCTGCCAGGTGGATCTGGTCAAGGAGTATAAATACTTTTTGACCGTGCTACAGGACACTAGCGTTAGCAAACAACATCGGACAATGTCCGCCTTTGTGCTCGCCTCCATTGTGCACAATTTCCTGCTCGGCCAGACGAGTGCGCTCCAGGGGCCGTTGCTCTCCATATGCCTGGAGCAGCTGAACGATGGCAGTTGGCTGTTGCGTCAATGGTTGGCCATTTGCCTGGGCATGCTTTGGCAGAATTTCGAGAAGGCACGTTGGTCCGGTGCCCGTGACTTGGCGCACGAGAAGCTCTACGTGCTGCTCCGTGATCCGATACCCGAAGTTCGAGCGGCTGCCGTCTTTGCCCTGGGCACATTCATCAGTTCCGTAACGGATCGCAGCGAGGAGCAGGCGAATAATATTGATCGGATCATTGCCATCACACTGCTGGAAACGGTCGGTGAGGATATGTCACCCCTCGTCCGTCTCGAACTGGCTGCGGCCTTGCAATGGATGGTGTTGCTCTTCGAGTCACAATTCGTCACCGTGTACATGTCGGAGCACATGAACAGTCACACCTCATCGCTAGTCTCCTGCGGCGGTGAGCGGTCCGCGAGCATCACGCACGGCCTGCCGACGCCGCCCCAATCCTCGAATAGCCTGGATCGTGCTCCGCATGTCAGTATGGGTTTTTCCAGTTTCATTTTCAATATGATCAGTGCCAGCGCTGTCAATGTATCCATGGGTGGCAGTGGCGGTAGCAGTAATACAACGAATGCGATACCCTTTCAGTACATCTTCACCAAACTGTGGCAGGGCATCTACAATCTCGGTCAGGATCCGTACCCTCAAGTGGCGGCAAAGGCACAGAAGATCATTGGACATGTACGCGATGCTGCGTTGTGCATGATAACCGCCAAGGAGGCAACAAATGCAACAACCGCTGGCTGCACAGGTGGACGGGATCGGGATCGGGACACCGAACAGAAGCTCAACACCAGCAATTTGGGCAGCTCGAGTGTTAGTCTGCCGCCCAGTCCGAATACACGTTGTAATTATCTTGGCGCTGGTGGTGAATCACCGCCAGTTGGCGGTACACATGCACCGGCCACCGGTGGTGTGGGTGGTGCAGCTGGTGGTGGTGGTGGTGCTGGTTCAGCAGCTGGCTTTGCGCCCGCTTCGGCCAGTCGCTGGGCACTCAAATTGCGGATGTCCGGCGGTGGGGATGCACAGCAGCGTAAATTGCGCACCAGTTCTATGAATGATGAGCCAGACGGTGGTGCTGGTGGTGCAACAGCTATGCCATCAACTGCTCCTGTGGCTGCTGCTGCTGCTGCGGCAGCTGCTTCAGCCACTGGCCAAGCCGATGGTGGCGGCAATCATTCGGCGCGAAGTAGCGGCAGCGAAAACAATCATTATACGGATGCCGCCAACAGTGGCAAGTCAATGCAATTGCAACCGATCTTCCAGACACAGTTCATACCGTGGGCCATCTCATATTTCACACGGCCGGGCAAGCACCGGTACAGCTGCGCCGAAGATGGCAGCGAGGAGGAGGGCCAACAGCGTTGGCCCATCGATCGCCATTCGACGGCGTTGCGCATCCGTGAATTTCGCTATCTGCGCAATAAGCAGGATCGTTCTCAGGCGCTCAACGAAAATCACAAGCAGCGCATCCGGCTGGATGCGTTCAGTTTTGTACGGAAAACCCAATTTACGCCATCGCTGGTGAAACTATTGCCATATGAGCGCCAAATCGCTGTCGCCTACAAGGAGAAGGTGCTCGTCTACGATTTCGTGCGCAATTCGGTGTTCAACTATGTGACGGAGGCGCCACTGCCCGAACTGACCAGCATCAGCAAGAACAAAAGTTGGCCGCATTCACAGTCCTATGCCCGTTTAGCAAGTGCCTCGCAATTTGCGCGCGTCAGCAGCTTTGAGCTGTTGAATGCCCAGGATGTTGGCCTGATGCTCGTTGCCCACGATGATGGCGTCATACGTGTCTGGCAGTCGGCTGGCAGCTCCACAACTGGTACCGCATCCGAATCGCCAATGATGCCAGCGACGACGACAGCGACGCGATTGATTAGCGCCTGGGATGCACTGCCTCGGCACAACTATAGCGGCAACAATTCCTATCTGCAGCGCCTAATAACGGATGCCGGCGGCGTTAGTGGTGTCAGTGGCGTTAGCTGCTCCTCGAACACCAGCCTAACGGGCATTGGTGGCGGTTCAACGGGTGCCGGCTTGGCGGGGGCATCACTTCACTCCGCTGGCATCAGTTCGCTGGCCAGCACAAATATTGTCACCGCCTGGCAGCAGTATAGTCAGCATTTGGTCGTTGGCAGCGATTATTATCGCTATCTACGCATCTGGGATGTGGAGCGAGAGTTGCGACTGAGCGATCTGCATCTGGGACGCAGCGAGACAACGGTGCGCGTCCTGTCGCCGTTTGAGGCAAACATTCGCTGCGATTTGATCGTTGCCGGCTGCACGGACGGCAGTGTGCGTATCTTCGATAAACGGTGTCCACCGCAATCGGCTCGTGTCCATGTCTATCTGGAGCATTCGTCACCTATTCTGCATGCGTGCCTGCGTTCGGAGGGGTCATCTCTCGTCACTGGCTGTACGGCTGGCAAGGTGCGCGTCATTGATATACGTGCCAGTCGCACTGGCGCTGATGGCGGCGGCATCTTACATCAGTGGGACGCCGGTGCAGATATTACAGCGATGGCATGCCATCAGCAGGCGGATGCCGTTGCCTGTGGCAATGCATCGAAAATAAGCATCTATTCGCTAAATGGATGCACACAGAGCATCCTGCGCAACAACGAGGGATTTATGGGCTCGAAAATTGGATATCCCACATGCCTGTCATTTCATCCCTATAAGGTGCAACTGGCTGTGGGCTTTGTGGACAATACGGTTGCTGTCTACAGCCCAACATCAGGTAAATAGTACTGCTAGTAAATCTAGCAGATCCTCCTATGATGAAGTAGGCTTATTGAACGATTAAGTTACACTGTAGGCAAAAATTTGACTTTGTCATTCGATAAGTCATCTTCAACAACGAGTAGCGAAAAGAACACGAGATGTTATCCTGTCTCTTTCGCTCTCTCTCTCTCTCTTTATTTTTGTTGCACTTGTTACAATCGTTGGAGTGTATTATCAAAATCAAGTAACGAGTAGTTCTTATTATTATTTCAACTCACTCGCTGCATCTACTCTCTTGTCACTCGTTAGCGGTATGGCAAGAGCAGCTACAGCGAATGCAGCTGCTACACTCTCTTCCATTTCGCCTCTCTCTCTCTCTCTCTCTCTTAGTAATTCACCTCATTTAACTCGTTGTTCGTTACTTGAAACTCGTTACAGTTTTATAAACTCTGCAATCGCTGGAAAACGGACGTCGATAAGAATCCTGAAACAATGTTTAATGCACGTAGCTTCTATGCGGAGCCAGCGATGCAGTCAGCCGTGGCGCATGTGCGTTCCAGCACACAAATTATGAACCTTACCCCCCAGGATGTTCAGCTCATGTATACCGTGTGCGCATTTGAGACGGCCTGGCAACGCCACAAGCCGCCGTCCGTCTGGTGTCGCTTTTTCAATGTCGCCGCCTTGAGCGCCTTGGAGTTTGCCGAGGATCTCGAATACTACTGGAACGATGGCTACGGCTATGAGTTGACGCATCGCATTGCCTGCCCGGCAATCGCTGACATGTTTGCGGCCATCGAGTGAGTTTCAATTTTAAATACGAATATTAATATTTATTTACCATATAATTCTAGCAACGAACTTCGCTTTCGTCTTTCGGTTTAGGTTACAGATTCGTTCTGGTTTCAGATTAGCTTTACAGTTTGGTTTAGGATTGGTGTCAATGTTGTTGATGAAACATTTCAAATCAAGATTTGCCAAGAGATAATTCTTTGTTCAAGTTTCAAGTCGACTTTCTGATTAGCTTACAGATTTGCTTTGGGTTGAGATTAGGCTCAGGATCAGTTCTGGAGTTGTTGAAATCAAGGCAAGCCATTGTTGTTATTTAAGCAATGAGATCCAAGCTAATATGTGTTATATATGTATATATATAAAGATAATTCCAATAGTTGTTTATCGCACAATCATTTGAAGTGCAGCTTCAAAAAAGATTCTCGGAATTTCTTAAGTTAATACTGGCTAAGCTAATCTAAGCTCAATTGAAAATACTTGATTGTTATTATTGTTTTGTTGCATGTGTGTACAGTACGCCAAGGCCGCGCGCCAATGCCACATTCTATTTTACCCATTCGGGAACGCTGCTCAAGATGCTGGCCCATCTGGGCGTGGCCAGAGATGAGCGGCCGCTGACGCATAAGGATTTTGGAAATGAGCGCCATTGGCGCACAAGTGAAATCGATGCGTTCGCAACCAATTTGGCCTTTGTGCGCTATGAGTGAGTATTCACTGTACCAACACACACACACACACACACATACAAACATGACTAATGCATAATGATTAATTGCAGCTGCATTGCGAAGGATCCACACGTGCTTGTCATGCATCAGGAGCGAGTGGTGCGCCTGCCCGGCTGTCCACAGGATGACGATCTATGTCCGCTGTCAACGCTGCGCCGCAACTATGAGGAGAGTGTCGAACGCTGCGACTTTGAGGCGCTCTGCCAAGTAGCCAAATGAGATGAACAGAGATGGAGACACAGACAGAGAGAGAGAGAGAGAGAGAGCTGGAAAGCTGGGAATTGAAATTGGGTTTTGGAATTGGAATTGTTGCTGCTGCCTGGTGCTGATTGATAATTGATGGTGATAATGATAATGTTGCTGCTGCTCCGCTACCGGAAAAAAACTATGCTGAATTTAACAGGAACCAAAAGGATTCGTCGGAAGTTTTGAAATTTGAATTGATGTCGAGGATAAATCGAGAGAGAGAGAGAGAAAGAGAACGAGAAAAAGAAAGGGAGGAGAAGCTGTATGCTGTAGATGAGTCGAAATGTTGCAAATAGAGATAATGAATAGCGTTAGTTGAAACACTGAAAGTTAAAAGAAAGCCAGCGTAAGGAATTGTATTGTAAAATTAAGAAAGCCCAATTGGCATGTTATCAAATATGTTTGTATTTTGTATGCCTTATAATCAATGTGGACCATCCAAGCCCAAGAGAAACACAAAACAACACTGAATACAGACACTGAGAAGGCACAAAAAAAGCGAGGTGGAGATAAAGATAAGCATAAAGATAAAGTGGAAGAGAGACAGAGAGAGAGCCCGAGAAATAAAAAGAGAGTAAAGCGTGAGCGTGAGCAAGTTTAGATTGTAGCCATGCTGTGAACCCGCAAGTTGTCGATTATGAATATATATCCCATATACCCTATATATATATATATATATATATGTATATATTAACTGTACAATTCGTACTTCTAACCTCTGCTACTTTATAATTTGCCGCTAAGCTGCTATCAATATGTCAATACTATAACTTTATGTTTGCTTCTGTGTAAATTTCATATATATACATATTTATATATATATATATATAAATAATTTTTTTTGGAAGTGTGGTTTTTTTTCCTATACATAGATAAATATATATATATATATAAATCCCAAGAAACCAGCAAATTCCGCATAGCCTTTGTACATACCTATAATATATTTATAAGTGCATATACAAATATATCTTTATATATATATATATATATATGCATATGTATATATATATTTGAGACATTTATAAGTTTCTCATCTTATTTGTAACTACAGATACAACATATTCGTATAGAAACATCGGCTATAATGTACTCGTATATATATCGAATATATGCCTGTATTCATTGCTATCTAAACAACCTCCCAACCCCCACTCCCCATTGCACCCATTGCACCCCCTAATGTTGAGCCTAATAACAGTTAATTAAGGAGAAAATTAGAAGCAATCAATTAATTGGCTTAATCTGTATTTTGTTTGCCCGTTTCATAGATTTAAGGTAAATGTAAGTGATTTTGTTCTCTTTAATTTTCCAAAGTGTAAAAACGAAACAAAGAAAAAAAAATGTAATAATAATAATAAATATGTGTTAAATGATTAAAGTTAATATTATTTATTTTGCATGCGCCGCAGCAATAGCAAAACAAACGCAGAAAACACATTGTAAAACTTGTACGAAAAGACAAAAATGTAGCGAAATGTAAAGCAGCATTAGCGAAAAGTTCGGAAGATACGGAAACTTGAGTATCCTTGCAGAAATAAACAAACAATAATCTGTATTGCTGTCATTCATATTCAGTTTATATGTGAAGAATATATACAAGAAAAAATATATCTGTTTTGAGCCTGAAAAATGTTGTTGTTCAACATTTGCAGCGAGTTTAATGAAGATAGACAGACACATCAATTCTAAACATCAAAGACCATATTGTATATAATTTAACCATATTGAACACACACTGCATGGGTATACAAAAGAAAAACAATAAGAAGTAATATAATTTTGATTCAGAAATACAATCGCATAAATTACAAATAATGCCCCGTCAAGAATGTTAAATGCAGAGCATGTTTGTACATAGCACTTGTCTATGGTTATGGATATATATATATTTATCTATATTTGAATACATACGCTTCAATGTTACAAAAAAGAAACAACAATAGAAACAGGAAAACAAATGCAATCTTAACTGCCTGGAATTTTGAACCTTTCAATTTGTTTCAACACAAAATCACAAAAAAATACAAAATCGAAAAAATAAAAACCAAATAAAAAACAAATAAAGTGAAAACTGAAAATGTAATTGCAACCTAGTCGCATCTACAAATATGGAACTTACACATATTCTATTATTGTCCCACAGCCTTGTTATTGTTGTTGCTGTTGCTGTTGTAGGCAAACTTCCTGTGGGGTCGGCTAATTGGTAATTTTCTTTATTCGGAAGTATCAACTTAAAGTGTGTACACACTAAAGTTAACTAACTTTGAGCATTTGCTACAATTGCAGTGTATAAAGTATTGCAATTTGAATATTCCGCATTCCTTGACACTTGTTTTTCATTATTAATTTTTAGTAAATTCTCAACTGTTTGAAATTGTTATGATCCTGGCAGATTCATAGTTAATTCTTAGATAAGCTACTGCTAGGAATCGAGTCTCAAAAGGATCACAGTCACTATTTGGGATAGCTCTTTTATTTTATTTATCTTTAATTAGAAACCCGTGTTTTTGTTGTTGTAATTTTGAATAGAATTGCTGGCATATATATATATATATATGCTATACTTTTGCAGTATTGAAAAAGTACAGATACTGATATAAGGTATGAGAAGCAACGTGCTTACATATATAGACTTCAATCTGTCAATATTTGCATAGCTTGGGAAAAGTACGCAGCAGCCACAGATACCCTCTTTTAGAATTTTCCTTCAGACTAACATATATATATATATATATATATATATATATATATATATCTATATTATTATTATTTTGAATTTTTTTTTAGCGCTAAATAATCTCGAGTGTGAAATGTGTAGCAGTTTCCAGTAGCTTTGACAAGTCGGGTTTCGCCCGATTTTCTTAGAGTATATTAACATTATGTGTGTGTATGTGCCTGGTTCAAAAAACAATTGAGTTTAGAACTTTGCATTTATTTGTGCAGCATTTTTCGAATTTGCACAATTCGTTGTTTGTTTTGGCAAATTTATGTGGAAAAAAAAACAGGTAATGCATAAATTATATATGCACAACTGAAAAATCGTATTGACAAATCGCGTTTTTTAATGCACTCAAATTGAGATCAATTTTATTTTTAACAATGCCTCAACTCCAAATTTAAAATAATCTAGAAAAGGAAGGGACTTTTTTTAATATTTTTTTTTAGTCTTAGCGAAATTTGAGCTAAAGTTCTGCCATCAAATGGATATGTCTAAGTTCGATTTGGAGAAGTTCGATATATATATATATATATATATATATATATATATTTGTATTGTCCATTTGTTTTGTGTATTTTGTCATTAGCAGCGGAAGCTGCAGCTTGAGAAAGCTTTCAGGCAGCTGTGGCTGCAACAGGTTCAACCCTTAAACAGCTTTTGTCGCTCAGCTTTCTGTGTGCTGTGGAAAAGCTGTGCGAGGATGCCAGCCAACGCTGAGAGAGAAACAGCGACGACAACGACGACGACGACGACGACGACGACGACGCCGACGTCATTCAGCGCGCAGACGTCGCTGTCAGCAACAGCGACGACGACTTGGATTATTCCGGCAGCGGCGCCAGGCAACAGTATTTGGCCAAAAAGATTTTAGTGCGCTGTTGTCGTTGCGGTTGGCGCGTCGCTTAACAAAACTTTGTTGCACACGTTGTAGTTGTAGTTGCTATTTGTTGTTGTTGCCAATTTTTGTGTGTGTTGTCTTGTTTTCGTTTGTTATTGCCACTGATTCTCACGTCTATCGGTAACTGAGCAAAACAATTAAACGCGTCCTTTGCACAAACCGCGCTCTCTCTCTCTCTCTCTCTGTCTATCTCTCTCTCTCGCTCTGTCTGTGTGTGTGTGTGTGTGTGTGTCAATAATCAAGAAATAAAAAATGCAATCACCTGATGCGGCATTGCGGGAGACGTCAGCAAAATGACCTAATTTTTCATTAACGCATCAGCATCCAGCCCTTAGCCAGGACAACAACCCACCCACCAAAAAACACAACAAATTCAAAAAACCAAGTCGAAAAAACAACCCAAAAGCAAAACGATTCAGCAGCAGCAGCAGCAGCAGCGCTTGATTGGCTTCCACCCTCCGCTGTTATTATTATTTTTTTTTGTTAGTTTTTTTTTTTTTTTTTTTTAATTAGCTGTTGGCAAGGAACAATTGGAATTGGCAATGGAACAGCTGTGCTATGTGGCGCTCAGCTGCCTGTTGGTAATTGTCCTGCTCTATGGCCTGCTGGAGCTGCACTATTTCCTGCGCATGTGCCTCTGTGTGCTGTTGGCGCGCTTCATCAAGCGACGCTGCCACATCCTGGAAGCCACCACAGTCAATGGTAAGCCATATATACATATATCTATATCGACTATTGAAAAGAGTTTCCTATCTGCTACTTTGATAGGTGTTTGCTTGAGCAACGATGTGGACACATTGCTATATCATATGAATAATGCTCGATATTTTCGTGAACTGGATTTTGCACGCGTCGATTTCTATGAGCGCACCAAGCTGTATCGCACCATCAGCCGGCTGGGTGGCTCTGTGTTTCAGGGTGCTGCCACAATACGCTATCGCCGCTTCATTCGGCCCTTTCATCGCTTCAAGATCATCTCGAGGGTGCGTATGAGAAAGTGTTTTCGAAAAGATATGTATATATATATATCTACTTGAATTGGTTGCTATCGTTGTAACATAGATCATCTATTGGGACGAGCAATCGCTGTTTATGGAGCATCGTTTTGTGCGACCCTCGGATCAGTTTGTCCATTGCATTGTCATCTGTCGCCAGCGCGTCATCGATGTCTCCATGGACAGCGTGATGGCCGAGCTGTTGCCCAAGCAGACGGCAACAACGCCGCTGCAGGCATCGAGGCATACGTTAAGCTCCACGGCCAGTCTGCAGCCGGTTGGCATTGGAACGACGACGGCGATGGCGGCGGCGACGATGACAACATTGGATGCTGTCGCACAGGCCGAGAATGGTCATGTGGCAAGCACAACAACAACAACAGCAACAACAACAGCAACAACAACAGCAACGACAACAACAACAACAGCATCAGCTGCAACATTAGCAATGCCGGCAAAGTTAAAGCCACCGTTGCCGCCGGAACTGTGCAAATGGATCGAATATAATGATATGTCCAGCAAGAATCTGCGAAGCGGCTGCTGACCGACCACAGTCTAATATACAGTGTCTCGCAGCTTATTTCGGCAGTGTCTAGCAAAAATTTTAAAGTGCTATAAAGTTTAAACAAAGAAACAAACGCAAAATGTTTAAATGTCAATTTGTTTTATGTTATATCACGTTTGAAAAGGAAACTTCAGTTTTCATTAAAATATTAATTAATTAACTAAAATTAGTCAAAAACTGAAAACTTATCCAAAATACAGGTCAAAGCTTATTTCAACAGTCTAGAGAAAAGTAACATATTTGGCGTATAAAAACTTAAATAAGGATGTTAATACTTAGTATGATATCCTTTAGCCTTAATAACTCCCCTTAACCTATTGTTCATGGAAGATACCAGCTTCCGGGTCGTTTCTGGACTGATTTTGCTCCACTCATCCAGCAGAGCATTCTTGAGATCGGATCTGTGATTCCGGATGTTATTTTCGAGCAGAGCCCACAAATTTTCAATGACATTTAAATCTGGAGACTGGGCCGGTGGAATCATCATGTGGGGGCAGTTCCAGATAATCCAGGACTGTACTATTCCGGACTTATGCTTCGGGTCATTGTCCTGGTAGAACCGGAAAGTACGTCGGATTCCTAGCTTCTCGGCACTTTGGAGTAAATTTTCCTTTAGGATTTTGAGGTACACATTCTTGTCCATTGTTGGTTCAATGAACACCAAATTTCCGACGCCGGCTGCCGAGATACATGCCCATACCATGACACTTCCTCCGCCGTGCTTCACTGTAGCCTTTAGGTGTTTGGGATTCAGCTCAGTATTGGGCTGTCGCCACACATAATTCCGTCCGTCCGAGCCAAAAATGTTGAATTTGGACTCATCTGCAAATATGACTGTGTTCCAGAAGTCCAAATCCTTGTCCAAGTGGGTTTTGGCGAATGTCATCCTAGTCCCTTTATTTTTGGCGCTTATAAAGGGCTTCTTCCTTGGTACTCGGGCATTAAAGTCATGGTTGCGCAGAACCCGGCGCACAGTTTCCACACTGCACCTTTTCCCCATTTCATCCTGCACCTGTTGAGTCAGTTTTGGAGCCGATAGCTTGGGATTTTCCCTTATTTTCCTGATGATCCTCCGCTCCTCCTGTTCGGTGAAAATCTTGTGTGGTGCCTTTCTGCCCTTGTCCTCTATCCGATTTTCGTCGACGAAGCGCCGAATGATATTGAATACAGTTGTGGTACTCAGATTTACCATTTTAGCTATTTGGCGATATGAATATCCAATCCTGAAGTGTTCCAGGATCAGTTTCCGTTGTTCAATGGTAGTCCGCTTGCCCATAGTCCTTGTTGGCTGGTTGCACTCGAGATGCAGGATATAACTAAACTGACTATGAAGGATTGGTCTATTTATACCGAAAATAATCAACATTACGTAAAAAATCCGGGTTTTATGGCACCCAGGTGTCCATAATGTCACTGTTGAAAATAAGCTGTGACCATAAATTAAGGTACTTTTTTACATAACCCGGCCCAGCCGGCGGGAAAACCCCAGTTTATGGGGGTCATATAGTCATTATGGTGGTTAATATATGTACCTGCCATAGGTCTTTGGAATTTTTGAAAAATATTGTATTATTAGTTTATGGCAGGCAATTAAAATTTTTGCTAGACACTGCCGAAATAAGCTGCGAGACACTGTATATAAATATATATATATAATATATATTATATATGTATATTTATTTGGAGTGCTTGGGCTTGGAATTCTGTTCTTTCCGCTAAAGCATTTCATCTTGTTGTATTCTGTAGTATTTCTGTTTTTTTTTAACAATTTGTGTGTGTGTGTGTGCGCGCGTGTGTGTGTGTGTGTGAATTGTGCACTGTGAACTGTGTAAATGTTGACAAGTGCTTTAAGTCTAGCCTTAAGTTGTCTGTAAGTGCACCTAGCCGAATATCAAATACTGTGTAATAAAAACCAAAATCGGTTCTAAAACTAATACTATAACTGACGCCTATCACTAATAACACATATTTAAGTGATTTATGTATGTATGTATGTGTGTGTGTGTGTGTTTAGTCTAGTCTGGTAAATATGAATGATGTGTGCTTAGATATATGCATATATCTCTAGTAATTTGTACAACTTGCATTATCATTTCTGGATGGGGAGAGGGCTTTAGTGGAGCAGGCAGTGCTGGAAAGTGCTTAAGCAAATATTTTGCTTAGATTTAACACAACTTACCGGTTCAACAATGATCGTGCACTCTACGAAATATTTGCAAACTTTGTGTTTCCTATTTGGGAAATACAGGGCAGTGTTAAGTGATTAATTCCACAATTGATGTTTCAAATGCAGAAATAAGGATGATGTAGATTAAGTTAGTTAGAAAATAACTATACAATGTAAGAATGTTGATTAAACATTCTCAAAGAATTTTCCACTGAACTCAAATGCTGATAAGTTCAAAAAAGGGAAGTCCAATTCGAATGGCCTTGAGACCAATTTCCTATGTGTGTGTGTGTAGATAAATAAATGTGTATGAGTGTGTGTATGTGTATGTGTGTGTGTGTGTGTGTCTACATCTGTTGCAGCCGGTTAACTGAGCGCACTTTGAGAAAGTGCGAAAGTAAACGAACTTTTCCATTTGTCAACCAAATCGAAGCAATTTCGAATGTAGAAAGAATACTTCGAAATTACTCAACTCAACTCAATCACTGGCACTTTGCTGGCGTCACAAGAGGAGGGCGCAAGCAAACAAATGCACAAGTTGCGAATAAGCAGTTAATATACCAAGTGCAATAACACAACTGCACCATGAGTAGCAGTGGGAGAGTGAGAGAGAGAGAGAGAGAGAGAAAGAGAACAGACTTCGAGCACTGAGCAAAATTTCAAGTGCTGTTAAACAGCAACCATAATTATTATTTTGTAATTATTTCTCATAATTGGAAATTAAACTTTTGCGAATTGAAGGCCATAATTTGAATTAGTCAGATAGTGCTTACTTTAATGTCAAATTATAATTATTTGTGAAATACCAAATTATGATTTTGAACTTTGACACAAATCAACAAAAAAATATTGTTATTGTTACCTGCAGACTTTCTCAAATATATACAAATATTATTGATATTTTTCGCTGCGTATTGTCATTGTGATTTGAGCACTCTCTCTCTCTAGCTCTCAATAGCTGTCCAACACACATACTATCAAGTAACAAAATAAGCATGCACGTCTCATTCCATCATTCTTGATGTACGGTGTATGGGACCCCCAAGAACTTGACTGACTGCGGCTTTGCCATGAACTTGAGACGTGGGCTTTAAGCATGTTCATGCCTGCCTTCTCTCTCACTCTCTCTCTCTTTTCCTCTCCCTCTCTCTCTCGGTCTGTCTTTCTCTTTTGTATTTGAGTAGCTGCGATGAGTGGACAACTTTCGTTGTAGCACTTGTTGGTATCTTCGCATCAGTTGCGTTTGGTCGCTTGCCGCTAGCAGTTGATCAATTTGGCGTTCTCCCCTTAATCGATAGTTTGCGAATTGCGTGGCCTATGCAAATTGAGTAATTTAAAATTCTTGTAAGTTATCGATATATTGCATATTCATGCACAAGCTCAGGGAATTTGGGGGCGCACGGGTTCAACAATTCCAACAGTTGACATCCCCACAAATTAAAATAACGACATATTTACATACAAATGTGTGTTCGACAAAAACTTTCGCCATTAACGGGTTTATTTCGAAAACAGAGACACAGACACACACAGACTGAATTCGAGGTGAGAGATGTCGTTTCTGGTGCTGTTGCTCATTTTGTACATCATCTGGGATGTGAATTACTTCATACGTTGCGTCTTCACGGTGTTCATCGGCCGGCTGTTTCAAGGCAAGCGCAAGGTGACGGACACAACAACGATCTACGGCCTGTGCACCTCCCAAGATGTCGACATCTTCATCCGGCACATGAACAATGCACGCTATTTGCGTGAACTGGACTTTGCCCGCTTCCATTTCTATGCGCTGACCAATCTCTATGAGCTGGTGCGTCAGCGTGGCGGCGGCGCCGTTCAGGGTGCCAGCAGTGTACGCTATCGTCGCACCATACCCATCTTCCATCCGTACAAGATACAGACGCGTCTCGTCTGGTGGGATGAGAAGGCCATCTATTTGGAGCAACAGTTCATTACGCTGGCCGATGGATTTGTGCGCGCCGTCGCCTTATCCAAGCAGTGCATTACCAAATGCAATGTGAATGATCTGCTCAAAACGTATCCGGAGGCGGCCAAACGGCCGGAGATGCCAGCGGATCTCAAGCTCTGGCTTGACGCCATTGAGGTGTCTAGCGAGAAGTTGCGCAAAGAGAAATGAATGGAAATTTAAAATGAAATTTGAAATTTGAAAATTGAAATAAACTCCTCTTGCCTTGGGCCTGGGATCATTAGCGTCTCTGCTCATGCGCAGCTGTGTTTTTTTCTTTCTATTCATTCTTCATTCATCTCATCTTATCTTTCTCTCTTTGTGTTTAGCTTAATTTCTTTGCTTTCCTTTTTTTTTTTTGTTTAGTTGTATTTTATGCATAAATAAAGGGGGTTTTTTTGTGTATATTTTTTATTTGTTGTTTATTTGTCTCAATTTTGCTAGCAATAGCGTAACTTGACGTAACGTAGCGAACTACGTAACGTAATAACATTTCTGCCAAGTGTAACAAGCAGATAATGTAATTAATTGTATTACGTTACTTAAACGTAAATAACGGCATTTAGCTACGTTACGCAATAAAATTACGCTGTGAATGATTAGTAAAAAACTTTGTATTTACATTTATTCTGCGTGTTTAACGTTTTCAGTTTCTCTACGCAAAAGAACAGCAAAAATTAATTTAAATTAGGCGCCCCGTTGCAGTACCGTTACACACACATACACATATATATCTAGATATATACACATACAGTACACAAGCGCCAATAAACTGTAAGCTTTTAAGCTCAGCGCAAGCATATAAGAAATGCGGACCATAAAAAGCTTTTTACACCGATTTATCAATATATTTTGTAATCCGTGTTGCGATATTTAAACGAACTTGTATTGTTCATTATGTTATATTATTATGTGGCGTCGAAAGCATGACTTTCACTCTCGTCATTAAATCATTGATTTAAATGTTACCAAAAATAGCCATCAATTATTATTGCATACGTTTTGTGCCCTCTTCTTTGAGGAATGGTGAAAAAAGACCACATTAACTAAAAAAAAGTGTTTCCATGAATAAATAAAAAACAATAATTTATTGGGCTTACACTTCGAACACAACTTTGACTAGACTCTGTCATTAATAATCACAATTGTTTACTTAATAAACAAAAGCCGTAAGTTACAGCATCTGGAGAGGACTTTAAGCTTTCGCAAACAGTTACTTTGTAGAATGGTAATTATTTAAGTGGATGAGCATCCAGCTAGTTATTAATTTAGACTTGACTTCCGCTTACATGTCGTATGAGCGATTCTATTTTTAATAGTTTACGCAATTCGAAAAACCCCAAAGAATTTCAGAGAGCTCGTAATCATATTAAGCTTTTGCTTTATCTAAAAATGATGCACATCGGATGTGCGGAGTTATGGCCTGAAAATTCTAAGATTACTTTTCAGTTTTACGCAGAGAGTCGAATGCCGAGATGTTTTTTTTAAATTATCAATTATACATGTATGTATTATGTAGGTATTTATGCTAAGCAAGTATGTTGCACGACGCAGCTTGTTCGACCTGAATGGGATGCATAACACAGAATACGATATGCATCGGAAACCACAAAAGCTGCATGATTTTGAAAAATTGTTTTTTTGACTTACGAAAAATAAAGTAAAAAAGTCTTTAATTATTTCTACGTGTCAGAAATACCTTTTATGTCAATTAATGTATTTTTTTATAATTTCGTTCACAGGACGTATGAGCGATTTATTCACTAAAAGCTTCTTAAATTCTGCAGCTCTAAATGGGCCATAAAACAGAGCGCGCACAAGCCAAAATGTGATCATTTTTCGTTATAGGCCTTTTTTTTAGTGTTGGTTGGTTCTCTCTTTCATTTTTTTTTTAGTTTTTTGTGTTTGTTTTTTTGAAATGTGGATCAAAACGTGACACTGAAATCCAAACATAAATCTCATTCATAAGTATGCAGAACGCGAACGGCGCAGAGCAGAGCCAGCACACGAGCGAAGATGTTAAAAAAAGACAGAGAAAGAGAGAGAGAGAGAGAATCAGAGACACAAAAAGAGATTGCAGCAGTGATAGCTGCCCACCCCCCCTCTACACACAAACACACAAACACCAAAGCTCATTGCAGCAGCAGCAGCAGCAGCTGCATGCAGACAGCGCCAATAACAACAACAAAAACAAAAGCAGCAACAACAACAACCGTAATGTTCAACTCATTTGTTTCGTCTCGTTTGTGTTCGTTCGTGTCTCTCATGCGCTCGGCTCGGGATTTGCCGTTTGCCTTTGTGCTTTTGTCGCCGCTTGTCTCTTCTTTTGACTATTTTTACACAGCAGCGGACTGCGGAGAATTTACAGTTTTCAATTTTAGTTTTCAGTTTATTTTGAACAGCCGCTGCGAGCGCATAGAACACTACGCGACGAGACAATAACACCAACAACAACTGCAACACATTTAAAATAAAACGCAACAAATTGAAAAATTAACAAAAAAAAAAAACACACACAAAAAATTATACATATATATATATATATATTTATATATGTTTATGCATCTAAAGAAAATAGTTTCTAGTTTGTAAATATAAATAGTGCTGTAAAAAAAAATTGTTTCTCTCTTTTTTTTGTTGTTTTTGAATGTGAAAATTGTGTTTAAGGATTAAGCCGATAAAGTTCGATATCCCACTTTGAGGAGCTTGAGCACTATAATCATGTATGTATGTGTTTTAAGTATAATATATATAGACAATGTCTAATCACTATATAGCATGTGAATATTTTTAATGAAATTCTTACAATTAAACATTGTTTTTTTTTTTTATATATTATTATTGCGGATGAGCTTGAATGCATTGTATCCCATAGAGAACAATGTTTATGTGTCTGGCGATGTGTAAATAGTGTTGTGGTATTCCGAGTATTATGCACAACAATAACAAATCAACAGCTTGCGCAGTTTATTGACAGACGCAGCGACAACACCAACAACAACAACAACAACAACAACAACAGCAGCAGCAGCAGCAGCAATAGTCAGCAAAAACCAGATTCCAAAACAACTTGAAGTAATTTGCAACTGAAAAGAAATGCCGCAAAAGGGGCAAGGGGTGATGGAGAGGGGGAGTGGGGGACGGGTCGTACAACTCCAAGCCGGATAGATGCATAGATTGGCCCCTTTAAACGTGTGCCCCCCCCTTCCACTGTTCCTGCCCCAAAAGACCAGACAGTCAGCGCAAAAAGAGAAAACTTTTTTGTTGTTGTTGTTGTTGTTGTTATAAACGCGACACTTTGAGCAGCAACAACAACAACAACTTTGGCGGCTGGTCAAGCGTCAGTGAAAATGGCTTGCAGAATGCTGGCTTTGCTGCCAACTGACAACTGTTGCCCATGAAAATTGACAGCAGCAACATTACCAATAGAAGCAGCAGCAACAGCACCAGCAACAACAGCAGCAGCAACAACAGCAGTAACAACAACAACCACAACTTTGACACTAAAAACAGCACTTGATTTCGTTTAGCTACACGCAGAGAAAAATCCTATTTTATCTGCAAGTACAACTGTGTTTTTATTGCTAAACTCTTGCTTGCCTCCAAAAGAAGCACTTAATGTTATATAAATAAGAACCAACATGCTTTTATCAAGCACTATATGTCCACTATAAGCTTATTTGTATATAAAAAGTTGTCGACTTCTAGATTAAGGCTTAGTCGGTTTCAATTAATATAATCAAATCTGAAATATGCGAAATATCTTATTTCAAGACTTAAGATTTGAAAAGGGCAACAGTTCTACTTGGCTTATTCCAGAACAGTCTCAGCAGGATATCTAAACTCGCACTTGATTTGGGCATAGAATTCGCTATTTTCTCTCTCTTTTTTTTTTTAGTGTATTTGCTTTATTTTAAGTCAGATCTAACGTTTCGAAGCTATAAGGTTGATTTCACTTAAGTTTGCTTATAAAAACTCAGAATTATATTAAGAATCCAAATAATAGATATGATTATTTTTGAGATAATCTATACTACTTTCAAGAAAATTGATTTCGCAAAGTAATATTATATATTTCCTATGGATTATCGGCTATTTAGCAGTAGTAGCAAGATTAGCACCCCCTCTCTAAGCCCCTGGGCTAACCCTTTAGCTAGGCAGACCTTAGACCTTGTGAACTGGACGGAGCCATTTGGGCAAATGGGCAAATGGGCAATTTCCCTGTGTGCACATAAATCACTCTTGCACATCCGCACAAGACACACACACACACACTACACACACACTACACACACACACACATAAACACAGACTAGTGCTAGTTGAAGTGGGCGGTGGGCGTGTGAGCAAGTAAATCGCAAATTTCCAGCGCCAAATGGCATTAAGTCCGTTTCGTTATTGAGTTAAATTGGAAAATAAGCGAGCGACAGTTACAGTTGTTGTTGTTGTTGCTGTTGCTGTTGTTGCAATTGTTGTTGCTGTTGTTGTTGTTGCGTTTGGGGCAGCAATTGTTCGCACTTGGGCTGTGTCCCCCAAAAGGCAGGCCTCGCATCATCTGCAACTATTTCATTATTATTTTAGTTGCGGCAACAAGAACAATAACAACAACAACAACAACAACAACATCATCATCATCATTATCGTGATCGTTATCGTTATCGTGATCAGGGTTAGGCTTGTCAACAGCGGTTGTTTCAATTGCTGCTCTTGTTGCATGCAACACTTTAGTTTAACACTTGTTGCTACTTCTTCTTCTTCTTCTTCGTCTTCTCTCAATCTGCAATTGCTGGCGCGTGCTTACTGTTAAACACTCCTCCCACTACCCACCCGAACCCAGTTTGACTATAGAAAGCTTGTTTCAAAGCAACTCTGACCAAAATTATCGATTATTTTTAACGACATTTCTTAAACTTTCCCTGCCTATTTCTGTAAACTTTAATTCACTTCTTCTTAAACCATAAAACTAGCTTCAAATTAGTTGGACTTGATCGAATTCTTCTCTATTTGTTCTTTCTTAACAACAATTTTTATTTTTCTATTTTTTTTCAACTTATATTTAATATTTTATTAGCACTTTTAACTAAAGTTCACTTTTTCTTAAAGCTTGTTTGTAGCAAATTCATTTTTCTCGGTTTCTTTCTCCGTCAAAAAGTGTTTCCTTTTTCCAAAACTATTAAATTTAAAGACATACAATAAGAGTTTGTTAAACTGACTTTTGCTTAAACTATAATTTCCCAGCAATATTTAAATGCTGTCGTTTTGAGCAACCTGTTCTCGCTGAATTGTTTAATTATATATGGTATATATGGATAATATAAGCTCACTTATCATTATCTTAGTTATACTTAATCATATATCATCAGCCCGATTTCATCACTATAATTTCATTCATATCTCATTTCAGCGAAATAGCTGCTTTCAAATAGTATTTTTTCGATGGATTCTACAAGTATGGAAACCACAATGAAAAGAGCTTTTAGATTTGTTCGTGTGCAGATTGCTGATATATATATATATATATATATATATATGTACAGAATTACAATGACAACCTGTTGACTGCAGATTTTTGTGTCGTGTTCACGGCATTCTTTTGTCATTTGCATATTTTCGAGACGTTTTTTTTCTTCTTTATCTGATGTGTGTGAGTTTGACATGAGGTTTCGGAAATTGATATACCCTGTAGCCTAATTGTGCACAAGAGTCGTTGATATGTGTTAGTCATTCACAAAATATTCGAACTTAGAAGCTGCAACTTACTGTGAATGAGACAATAACAATGACTCCCAGCGAGTCCATTAGCAACAAGCAGTAAACAAATGCAATTTAAAGTCATTTTGAAGAGTTCTCAAAAGGAGCTACACTCATATCAAGAAGTCTGGCAAGTGGATTATCGTACAGGGTATCTGAGAGTCGCATCTAGTGGCAACTTGAACGTTCTTCTTGCGAATATTTACGAATTAAAGTTCGCTTTACGGCAAATTCAATGAAAGCTAAACAAATCAATTGCATTGGGGTCAACTGTGCTTGGACTGACCTAGGCCAATTACAAAGGGAAAACCCTGTTGCAGCTAAACTAACAATTAGGCAACGAGATTTTTGCTTTTTTTTGTTGTTTTTTTTTTTTTTTTTTTTTTTTTTTAAATCTATGCCATGCCCCAAGCTGGCTGCGTCCCTTAAAAGAGCCGTTCTGTTTGCTTGTAATTTGAGCTGCTGGAGAATTTCATAATAATCGTGTTTGTTGTCGCGTTCGCTTGCTGGTTGTCATTGTTGCTTTTTGCAAGTCGTAAATTTATTAAGCTAAACAAAAAAAAAATACAAATTATTGTTACATATATGCAACAGCTGCAATTTTTGCGGCTAACCAATTGCCTTACACACTCGCACACACACTTTTACAGACACACATATCTATGTGTGTGTATTTATGCATGTGTGTTTGTGTGTATATGTATTTACACACACCCCGCTGACACAGACACTTATCCAGTTACATCGTGCAAAGGAAATAGTACAATGGAAAAAATAAAACAAGAAAATAATTTGTTCAAATTTATGAATTTGAATTTATTTATACATAAACACACACACACGCGTGGAAGTGTGTCGCTTGTGTTTAATAGATACAAATGTATCTAATGAATGCAGCGCAGCGTTCGTCTCCCCAAACTCTGCCACCAAATTGAAATACCCAACAGCGCGTGATTTATGTATTATTTCTACACAGAGAGAAAACTCGAATCGAACATGTAATTCTGTGTTCTTCATCTGGGTTCTTTATTCCAACACATTTTCAGCTTAAATCGAGACTTGGCAGTGCCTTCATTTAAGCCCATATTTAACAAATATACAAATGTAAATAAATATGCTTGAAATTAGATAGTGAAATATAAATATAAATAAAATAACATTTATATTTTTGTTAAATTGCGTATTTTTTGTGCTAGATGTGAGATTTGTTGACTCAAATCGCAAATGTGTATACATCTTCCTCGCCCTCCCGCTCCCTGTCTCTGCCTGTGTGTTGCTGTTCTCAATGTTCTCTAACTCTTTATACTCTTGCAGTAAGCAGCTTCCCCGCCAGCCGGAAGAAGAAGAAGAAGATGGGCAACGCCGGCTACACATGCATCCGCCGCACCTTTTGCTGGCTCAACATAATACTGTGGGTGAGTTCTCTACAGATGCCGACAACTCTGCTCATGGGCAGATATGTTGCTCCAACAACAACAACAACAGCAACAGCAACAACAACAATAAAAATCGATGTGGCACCGAGCAGAGTTCTCAGCCTCGTCTGCAGCGGAAGTGTCAAAGTTGCTCCATTGTCTCAGCGCATTCGCCCCAGGCATTGTTGTTGTTGCTGTTGTTGGTGTTGTTGTTGTTGTTGTTGTTGGTGTTGTTGCTGGTGTTGGTGTTGTTGAGCAACTCCCAAGACTCCCGAATGTGAGCAAAGCGATTTGCAATCGCCTATCGATAATTGCTAATAGTAATTGAATAGTAGCAAAACGCCGGAAATGATTGTGCACTTAACAATTTGTGACTGAATACAAGAGCCAATTCAAATGGAGTTAGACGACTTGAGAAAAAATAAAGATACACTCAAAAAAATAAAGATATACTTACTAAAATAACAAGTGCATTGTGAAAACGAATCTTGATTAAAGAGTTAAATCACAAAATATAATTTGAAATTTAGTTTTACACTCTCAGTTAAAGAATTTATTTCAAACTTAATTCAAATCTTCGGCTCTCTCTCTCTCTCTCTGTCTCTCACTCACTCACTCTTATTATTGTTATCGATAAAATATCGATTGGCGATTATTGTTACAGTTGTGCAGCTGCGCCTTCCTTGGTGCCGGCTTGTGGCTGCGCCTCAGCTATGAAGGATATGCCACGCTGTTGCCACAGCACGCCGGACTCAGCGCGGACACAATCTTCATGGGCATCGGTGGGGTTGGGTTTGTCGTTAGCTTCTTTGGCTGCTGCGGCGCCTGGGTGCAGTCCCGCTGCCTGCTAGTGTTGGTAAGTGTTTGCAATTACATCACAGGGACGACTGTTTATCCATTCATTCCATATTTCGATACTTGACTGGACGGCAGTACTTTATGCTGATTGTGATGCTGTTCATGAGCGAATTCCTGGTCGGTTCGATAGCGTTCCTCTTTCGCGGCGGACTCGGACGCACTTTGGCCAACGAGCTGCGCTTCGGCATCGAGCGTCATTATAATGCCAGCGATCGTGGCTCCCTCGTGGCACCATCCGTTGCCGCGATTTGGGACAGCGTTCAGCAGTCGGTAAGTCTCTTTATCATCTTCAGTTCAGTTATTGAGCAGGTGTAGGGTGTATGGGAGACAGGAGATATCTCCAAGCACACAGATCTCAGAGACTTTAAGAGCTAGAGACTTCAAATTTGGAATATAGGTTCTCGTATACCAGGCGCAGATCAAGTTTGCTTTATTTTTTATCGATAACTGCCTCCGTTTCTCTAATTTATACAGAATATATATATGCATATTATTGATAAACTTGCTAAATCTCATCAAGATCGGTCAAGAAACACCCAAGTTATGGTCGAAAATATATCCTCATACAGATCTCATTTCAATCAGATTGGGAAATTTGCCAAGAGTTTTAGAATATATATATGATATAACAGCTGGGTTCAGGGGAAATCGTAGTCGAGCTCACTCGACTACAGCACGCTTACTTGTTTTAGTGTTAGAGTTATACAAATAGAAACAAAATTGAATTGAATCAAGTAAAATCATTTTTGTACTTCAAAAAAGTGAAGAAGTGAAGTAAATTTAAGTGCAACTCAAGTTGATTACAGTCTTATTTCAAGACAATATCAGGATTAAACTATACGAACTTAAGTGTCTTCAATTCTAAATGGCTTGCTCCGATTAATTTAGATCTTGGTTTAAGCACTAAATTCTCTTTTTGTGTATTCTGTGTTGCAGTTTGAATGCTGTGGCGTCTCGTCGTACGAGGATTGGTATGACATCCAGTCGTGGAGTGGCAAGCGATGGGTGCCAGACTCGTGCTGCCGCCAGCTGTATGATCAGCGCCAGCTGATCACCGAGGGATCTGGGGATGCTGGACTGATGCGTGTCGATTGCGGCAGATCGGAGAATCCGTCGCTGTGGTGGGACAAGGGATGTGCACACTCGCTGCAGGGCTGGTTCAACGGGCAGCTGAATGTGGTTGGGGCCATTGGATTGGGGATTGCATTTGTGCAGCTGTTCGGGCTGATCACGTCAATGCTGCTGTTCTGCACCGTGAAGCATAAGCGCGGATCGGACACATATAAATCGTATTCGCCATCGATCGATCCGCAGACGCGCACCAGCAGCTGGGAGGATTGAACTAGACTCTAGGCTGACCCGGGGTCGGTTGACTTTCTAAAGCAAAAAACGATTTTGCACATTAATTGCTCATGTTTTTTGTTTGTTTTGATTTGGTTTAATTTTATTTTCTAGGTTTTTCTTTTGCGAAATGTGCCAAAAATTAATTTAAATCTTAGTTTGTGTATCTTTTCTTTTTTTTTTTTTGTTTTTTACAAATAATACTCGTAACATATCTGAAAGAAAGAAGGAAAAACAAGAAAACATTTATCAAGAAGCCCAAAAAGCTGAATTCACAACGCCTGTTTTTAGTATTTAGTAATCTTATTCGTTTATTTGTTAACTGGTTTTTTTTTTGTCCCAGTATTCACTAAAACAACATTGTTGTTGTGAACTCAGCTTTCGTTAAGGGGTGCCTTACATATTATATATCTATTTATGCAGTTAGTTAGTGGTGTATCCATATTGTGATGTGCTCATCTAGTTTATATACTACAGACATACTATGTACGATATATGTGCAACTCTATGCCTATCCATATCGACCCAGTATGTTACTGTACGGCAATTAAGTATTGGAACAACAACTGCCCGTAAAAAAAAAAAACAAAAACAAAAACAATGAGATATAGTATACCATATACAAAGTAATATATGCATATATATATATATATATATATATATTTAATTTATATACATATTATATTATTATATCAAGCACATTCCTAAACAACTTCGATTATAAAACAAAAAAGATTGTGTATAGGTTACAAAATAAATTAAACTATTTATTTAAATAAAAAAAATACATAAAAATAAACTAATAAAATGAAGAAAAAAACGAAACAAAACAATTTGAGTTCCATTTTCAACTAGTTGCAGTTTGTTTCGTTAATGTGTTCCATTTCCGTTCTGTTCCGCCTTATAAGCCAACGAGCTTGCCTCCAATAATATCCAACTGGGCTGTGATCCCCTTGGAAACTGTGCGCGCGATTTCCTTGGGTTTCTAACACGTTCAGCAAAGAAAGAAACATTATTGCAACAGCGCTCTAATTAAGAAATACAATTAATTTAAGAGTCCGTCAAACGACAGAAGACGAGCCAACAGCCTCCATTATTTTCATTTATTTTGATTTATAAGATTATTTTCCTGAGTGTAAGCTCAACGACTTATTCTATTCGTTTCGCTAATTTAAAAGTTCAAATGTCTAAATGTCTCTTTTCATTTGGTTGAGTGCCTTATTTCGAATCATTTTCACCAATTTATTTTACACACAAACCAATTAAAGCAGAAATGTTCTTGTAAGGCATTCAAGTATCTGAAATACTTGAAGAAGTTGAACATTTTCACTTGCTTGATTCAATTTGTATTTCGATTGTAGATAAATTTACTCACAGCAAATTCATAAATTTTTGTCCAATATTGGAAATTATTTAAAAATCGAATCGAATGCACAACTTTTTCTGCATTGTTCTCATTGTTGATGGCGAGTGAAAGAAGTTGAGAAAGAGCATTTATACGTATACTTTACAGGCCGGGCCATTTTTAATTTGTTTTTACAGTTGATAAGTTTGTTTAGGCCAACGACCTTCAGACTGTGTGTGTGTGTGTGTGTGGGGGGCAGAGGGTTGCAAAATTAATTGTCACCTGTTAGCCACAGCTGAGGCTGAAGCGTCTCTTGTGCAATGCAACGTGCGAGCGTAACGAAAACAAACTAAGAGCGTCTAACACACACACACACACACACAGACAGACACACACACACACACACACACTGATATGCGGATGTATTTACACACTCACCTGTATAAAGCTGTTGAGTAGATTGGAAAACGCCTCGTAACCATTGACAAGTGAACGCGAAATAGCGTCGAATTTGTCGCCATTGTTGCCATACTTCTCATGCTCGCTGATGCTATCCAAAATGGGCACAGGCTGTCGCCAAACATGGTGCCACAATTAACATACATATTTGAATTAATATCTGTTCACATATTTGTTTCTGTACACATTGTTATATGTATTACTCACATGTGAAATATCCGCGATTTTCTTTTGCGAATTGTCATAGGTGCTGAGCACTTTGGATGGGATCCCCTCATGCTCCAGATTCACAGACTCCGCCGTTTTTGACGGCGTTGGCAACAAAGAGATCTTGAAGTAAATATGTATATATATATATATATGTATATCAAACATATATAGACTATGAACTGTTTACACCGAGAAAAACAAACAAAACAATCTTTGCTCTGCAGAAGTTATGTTATATTAAATAAAACAAAGAATTTGTTTATTATTTGGAGATAGAAATCTATAATTTAAATATGATGTCTTGCTGACTCCCATGTAAAATGTATTTTACTTTCTTCTATAAAAACGTAAATATAATTTGAAATTCATTCCTAATTCAATTATTATACCTAAGAAATATGTTTCTTTAAAATCAAAAATATTCAGAGAAAGTATAAAAATGAGCCAGAACATTTTCTATTTAATTTCAATTGCATATAATGAGCGTAAATTGATTTATTTGTTTATTTTATGGTTTGGGATATATTTCCATATTTAATAATTTTTTTTTCGAGTGCATAGACGTGACTGGAACTCACCTTAAAGCCTGCTTCGCTGGCTGACTGTGATGACTCTGGGGAGCCCTCGGCGGCATCTTCGGCAAAGGCATCGAGTGCACCAAAATCGGCAGCCGAGACTTGTGCATCAATGGGCGTGGCCCCATCCAATGTCGTAGGCGCCAAGGGCTTGCCCAGCACTGATCGTTGCTGAGATCCAATCAACAGCAACAGCAAGAGCCACAAGAGCGAGAGCTTCATCATCATAATCAAATATATGCGGATTGCGAAACGTGTCTCGCTTATGCAACGAAAGCAACACTCAACTGAACCTCAGGTGAAAACTTTAATTGCGATTGCGATTGCGAGTTTTATGTCTGCTCGCGGCCAGTTTCAAATATCAACTGAGTCTGAGTCTGAGTCAACTGCGTCTGCGTCTGCGCAACAATTTTGGTTTCAGTTTCAGTTTCAGTTTCGAATTCAATTTCGATTTTATGTTTTCTTTAGTTTTTTTTTATGTTATGATTGTTATAACGGCTTGGCCATTGCCAAATGCACACGGATTAACTGTAAAACTCGACTTGGGGCTACTCTGTACCCAAAATTTGCATCCATCGAGTATAGCGTCATAACTCTCGTCTCTCGTCTCATTTTTAAATGGGATACAGGCCATAAATATGTATACATATTAAATGGAGGGATACTTACTTGTGTACACATTCAGTTGGATAGTTGCAACAACTGCCGTAAAGGGGCGAAAAGTAAAAGGTGGCAACTCACTGCAATTAACAAAACAATGACCCAAAAACTTTTACTTCTCAGTAATGCAGGTCAATAACTCTTAAGGGCAGTTCAGATACCAATACTAAAACTAAGCAATCTCCGTGAATTAATAATAATAATAATGATAATACTTCAATTTACCATTCTAAATACAAAATTAATCATCATGCATCAAAGTTTAATTAAAACCTTAATCGAAAATATATAAACAACTTGGTCTAAACACTTTATCTATATGGGGTAAAAGACAACTACATACATAACAAAAGACTTGTCTTGTCATCAGGGAACAAGATTTGCCAGTTGCCAGTTGCCAAGTGGCCAACTTGCAAAGCTGCTTATTGTGTAACTGTGAAAATATCAAAGAGATTACAAGAAACATATTAACCGATTGTCCTGAATTGATAATTTTTTTTATTATTTTATGAGCTACTTGCGAGTTGGGTAAGCAAAAGACGGATTTATCGGATTCGACTGTTGTTGCTAATCAGGAATATATATATAGACTTATTCACACATATTTTTATAAGGCTATAAAAATGATAATTTGTTTTCATGTATGATAAACAAAAATCACTTTTAGACATAAAATAGACAACAAATGCAATTAATTTATTAAGTTGGAATTATCTCAAATCGGATTAATTTATATGAGTTTCTGTTTATATTATCATAATCAGATAAATTAAAATCCCAATTTTACTCTGGGCTAAAAATCATTTTCATAGCTGGGGAAAGCAAAAGTTGTAAGGCATACTTTTAGGGTAGCAATCACATCTATATCCAAAACAAGTTCCAGACAACTGGAAGCCTTTAAGCATACTCTTAGGATGACAATTGCATTGTCATCATTGTGACAGGAACTCTAACAAATTTTCGATGACGAGCCTAACCAAAGGGTCATCTAGGAACAAACAAAAAATAAAAATAAAAAAAAGCATGGAAAATTTGTGTATGGGTTTTGATGGGCATAAGCAACGTGGGTATATCAAATGGCATTAGTAAGTTTGTCAAGAAACCCACGGATTCTGGTTAACAATTTGTTAAAAAAGGTTGCGTGTGCATAAAGCGTTTAGATCCATGACGAGTACCACAATACAAGCTGACGCAAGCGGCTAAATATTTTCACAGCTTATCAAAGACTTGTTGTGCCATATTTTTTTTTGTCTGTCTGCTTTCGCTTTTTATTACAAATCGTTATTTATATATATATATAGAATATATACTATATGTATAGGGTTAGGTATTAGGTTATAGTTTACGTATAGTTATTACGTACATTAAATATTAGCAACTAAGCATTTAATTGTTAAATAATATTAACAAATATTCAACAAATTAATATATTAATACAAAAAAAAAAATTTATATATATATATATATATATATGCAATTATCTTTTAAAATATGGTATAAAAAAAATATATAAATATAAAATAAACCGCTCGCATTTCATTTGATTTTTTTTTGTGTTTTTTTGTGTTTGTTTTTGTACTGTCAGCAAAGCATATTGCACAAATGATTTTACGGCTACGTTGCAATTGGCGCCCACCAGTCGTCAGTTGCCAAACTTAATGGTCTGCTGCTGGCGACTGCTGCTGCTGTTGTTGTTGCTGCTGCTGCTGTTGTTGTTGCTGCTGCTGTTGTTGTTGTTGAAGCTGGCGCTGCTGCGGTTGCCATTTTTGAGTATGCCGTTTGTTTGAGCGCCGTTTCCACTCCCGCTACCAATGGATGGCATTTTGCGAAGAGTTTCACGGCTGCCAGCACGCTGCTGCTCGCCGTATTCTCCAATTGTAACGGTGCCCAGGCGCAATGTGCGTCGCTGCTGCTGCTGCTGCTGCTGCTGACTGCCATTTGACGCTGCTGCTGCTGCTGCTGCTGCTGCTGTTGCAGCTGCAGATGATGCTGTTGGTGTGGTTGCTGTCATTGGCGCTGTTGCATTGCTGCGCAGCTGAACTGTCGCTGCGGCATCATAGTCCGGCTGGGGCGTGGCTGGCGCACGTAAGCCGCCTCCAATATTGATGCCAGGACTGCGCACAGGCGACAACGCTTGCGTTCGCGGCGACGTCAACGTTGACGTCGTCGTCGTCGTCATCTTGCTCTTTCCATTGCCATTGCCATTGCCATTGGGAATGCTTAGCTTGAGCGGATTGGCAAATTGCGGCGGCTAGAGCGAGATAAAAATAGATGAGCATTTTTGTAAGATAGCTGAGTATTATTATTTAGATAAAAAGAGTGAGCTGCTATCGTGGCGACAATAACTAACAAATTAATTAATAGCTAAAGAAGAGCAGCCGAGAAACTAGTCTCAAAATAATATTTAATAATAATTTATATAAATAGAGTTGCCAGCGTGGCAACTCTATAAACACAAATGAAGTTATTAAACGGTAAATTTCACATGCATGCATTAATTAAACAAATAGTTTTACAATTTCCAGCTGAATGCATTTCCAATGAAATTGCTGCTTCTTTTTTTATTATTTATTTAAAAAAAAAATTGCAAAAAATTGTATAACTGGTTTTGCAGGGCGATTTGTGTGGTTCTTAAGATGAAAGTTTTATTGTTTGCTTTTTCTTTGAGTGTATGCACCACAATTACACTTACCGGTGGCGGTAATTCCAGCGTTCCATTCATATTGTGGCTGCTGTTGTTGTTGTTGTTGCCGTTAAGCAGCGACATGCGATTGCTTCCGTTGCTGTTTTTGTTGCTCATTTTGTTGTTGCTGTTGTTGTTGGTGCTCTTGTTGTTGTTGCTGTTGTTGTTGGTGCTGTTGTTGTTGGTGCTGTTGTTGTTGGTGCTGTTGCGATAGCAGCTATCATCGGGCATTATCGAAGTGCGTTTTAGTGTCTCGCCGCGTTCCTGCACAAACGAAAAGAAAAGAAAAACAATAAAAGCCATAATAAAAATCGAAAACGATTTAACAAATTGCGTTGGCCTTGAAAGACTCGAAAGATTGACTATTGACGATGATGATAATTGATGGATGGATGGATGGATGGATGGATGGATGGATGGATAAATGGATGGACGTTGATGGGAATTGAATGCTGTTGTTAATTGTACCTCATAGGTGGACATGACAACCAATGGGCGACCCATGCTAACGGGACGCATCGTTGGCATATCGCTGGCACGCCCATCGTTGCCGCCGGCAGCGCCACCATTTTTGGCACGTAGCAAACTCATTTCAAACAATTAATAGCTCTCAACTATTAAGAGCAATACGACTTCTAATTGCTGTTAGTTGTTATTGATGTTCTTGCTGCTGCTGTTGTTGATGTTGTTCTTGCTGTTGTTGATGTTGTTCTTGCTGTTGTTGTTGTTTATCACTGTTGTTAGCTGTTGACGCCGCTGAATAACTTGGTCGACTGGACGCCACCGAGCCAGCGAGAGAGCGTTTCAAGCAGCTCCAGAGCTTTGCTGGCAACGGCAACAGCGGCAGCACTGTGTTGTGTTGTGTTGTGTGATAAGATAAGAGCACACCTCATTGAGCAGCACACACATCCACACACACACACACATCCACATACCCATCCACACCCACACACCTGTCTCTATTTGGTTGAGTGTGTGTGTGTGTGTGTGTTGTGAGTCATTTGCTGTGGTGCTGCTGACAACCACTTGTCATTGTTGCAATAAGATAATACTGTGTGCCCAAAATAAAGGGAAAGCCAACTAATTTGTATAAACGTCAAGCTTTCAGCTACGAAAACAATCAACAAATAACCCAGTCAGACAAGGTCACTGGACAAACAATACACTGAGAAAAAGACAACAACAACAACAGACATGTGTATATCATATTTCAAGTCAAAAATTTCGGGCAAAAAATAGAATTTTAAATTGAGTTGAATAAGTCGTAGTTATTATTAGTAAATATTGTGCATTGTGCAACTAGTGCTCAGAAATGGGCATTATTTTTTGCAAATAATCAATATGTATTATGATGATGTTAAGCTAATCTATCTAGTACTTTTCTAAGGTAAATAATATGAGTACGTATACGTAATGCAATACTCTGGCGTTTGCTTGTAAGGCATGTGTTTGCTGAACACACACTTAGATTAGGGTATACATTATTATTTTTCACTGGAAAAGCACTAAAATTGCATTGCATACGCAGTACTGCATGTGACGTACACATTTGTATACCCTGGAAGGGTAGGATAATAATAGGTATATAGGAATATACATATCAAAATTCACATATATTCCAATTAATTAATTATATATTATCTCGTGCTATGGTTGACCTTTATATCTTTTGTATTTCTCACATATTTATTCAATTTGAAGTGCATAATCGATTTAGGTAACCTTAGAGCCAAGCAAGTACAGGGTATCTACTAGCTCAGCGTCATCGACTATAGCACTATTTTTGCTCTGTTGCCAAGTGTAATATAATAGTATATTCCGCTGTACCTGACTTATCAGATAATCCCTTTTTACTTGTATGTTTTACCCTTGTAGAGGGTATTCTAATTGTGGATTATAAAGGAACATTTCTACTTTTCATGAATTCAATTCTGTTCAGCTTTATTTCTAAAAGAAAGTACAAATTATTTATTGTTTTTTCAAAATCGGAGGGAATAGGAAATATGTATTCCATGAGTAAGTTTGAGTCGATCAATTGCAATTTGCAGCTGCCGCAACTGTTCAGTTATTCCTCTTTCCCTCTGTCCCACAGTACTCTTTTCCATCTCTGTCCTACTCATTTGTTGTGCCCTCATTCAAGTGGCTACAACAAATACTTCACGTGGCTAACAATCAACTAACAGCCAACAACAATAATTGGCAACAAGTGCAACTCCGCAGCTCTCTTGACCTTTACAAGTAGCCAGCGCATTTGTTGTTGCTGCAGCTGCTGCTACTTCTGTGTGTGTGTGTGTGTTGCAACAATGCAACAATTGTTCACAAAACAGTGAAAAGAAATAAAAACCAATACGGAAATTCGGAGAGTACAAAATGCTCCATCCAGCTACGATTTGTTATCAATGCGAAAATACAACATTTTGAGACTCTTTTAAAAAACATTGCGAGATCTTTTGGGAATTATATAACATATAATCGAAGAAAATCGAACGTGAATGTATAATGAACTGAAGCTTCTTCTTCTTTTTGTGCAAGCCAAGACAATTTACTTTGTTATTTGTTAATTTTGAATTTATTTGACATATTATTTATTAATTTTTCTGTGTACACTTCAATACTTACTTGATTCAAGTATACATTTCAATATAATTAATAATTTGCTGAGATTAAGAAATATATATATAAAGAATTATAAGCTTGCCACACTTGGCTCAAGAATTGTGCATAACATTGTGACAAAGACTTTGCCACAAATATAGTACAGAATACATAACGCTTTTTGTTTCTCTCTGTGTAGCAATAACAACAATAAATGTGTGTGTGTGTGTGCGTGTGTGAGTTGGGTTTTTGGCTGCTCACCTTGTGCTCGCTCTCATGGAACCCGTTCCTAAACATGCGCTGATGCGCCCGCTTAAATTCATCCATCAGCGCCGTGTGCTGATCGCCAGTTGCAGTTGCACCAACCGCTGCACCACTGTTGCCACCATTTGCTCCTCCACCAACACATCCAGCTCGGCCTGAGCTTGTGGTGCGTTCACGCTTATGCGACACTTGTGCAACGCTGCGGTTGCTGCTGCTGCTGCTGCTGCCGCTGTTGTTATTGTTGTTGCTGTTCTGTTTGTTGTGCGAGCGATCTTCAATTCGCTCATCTCGATCTTTGCCTCGACTCAAGTGGCTGCTGCGTGGTTGCCCCACCTGTTGTTGTGGTTGCTGCTGCTGCTGTTGCTGCTGCTGCTTCTGCAAACAATAATAGAAACAATTAGAAACAATCAGAACACAAAGTGAAAACCAAACGATTCGTTGATTTCTGTCTTATTATTATTTCTAGTACAATAAACAGTCAACTAAAGATTCGTCAGTCAAATATCTACTTTTTAAATAAGCACATAAGTGCTTGAATGAAGTAACAAATACTCTTTAGAAATTAAGTAGTTACTTCAGTAAAAGTAGTTCATAAATTGCATGCTTCAATTCTGTTATAAGTTATATTTCTAGATCATTTCAGGAACTTTTACTTTTACTATCAGTAAAAAGGGAAAGACAATCGAACTTGGCTTATTCCGCAACTGTTTTCAATTGAGAATTTTTCGAGTTTGAATTTTAATCAAGTTGCAAATGATTTGAGCCCGAGGCAAAAAAGAAACGGCTACCTTAGAAAAACCAAAGATTTGTCCGACAAGAAGCTAAATTTTATTTAGAGCGTTACAAGCTTTACGACCAAATTATAGTTTCCTGTGCAAGCGTTTTAAGCGTTATTTACAGGGTATATCAGCTCACCTCTTTGCGTTTCTTGAGCTCCTCGGTTATGGCACTAGAGAGACTGCTGCTGTTGCCGCCTCCGCCTCCGGCACTGCTGCTGCTGGCAGAGTTGGTCATGGCTGCTGGTGGGGGTGGTGCAGGCGCTGTCGCCGAGCAGCTGCGTCGCATTGTGGTGCTGCGGCTGACGGATAGGTGTTGTTCCACGGACTGTTGCTGCTGGTCATTGGCATTGGCTATGTAGGTGTTGTTGATGGAGGTGCCATTCTCTGTCAGCTTAATGATTGTCTTGTTGAGTTGCTTGTGCATTTGCACACCGCCGCCATTGGAGGATTGCTGCTGCTGCTGCTGCTGGGTGGGTTCCTCGCGGACCGCTGTCAGTCGCTTGGATTTGGCGTCCGCCCAGCAGGGACTCTGATCGCCCGTCACCGAGCTGGCGGAGCTGTTGTAGCCGCTGGATTCACCTGGGAACAGATCACAGCCGGCAGCGGTGCGCACCACCATATCCAGCTGGCTGGAGCCCTTCATCACAGCGACTGCCTCGCTGAAGAGCACATCGGAGAAATCGATGCTGTTCACGCTGAGGATTTGATCGCCCGGCCGCAAACCCGCCTCCCGCGCCACACTCCGCTCCTTGGTGAACTGCACAAAGATGCCGGGTTTCCATTCGGGTCCCTTGCAGATGCCAAGACCCAGTTTAGTGCGGGGTGCCACATGCAGCACCACATTTATCTCACGACTGGCCGTTCGACGTTCTCCCGTCCCCATTCCCATTCCCGTCCCCGTGCCCGAACCCGAACCCGTCCCTGTCGTCGTCGTCTTGAATGAACTCTCTGACGGTGTTCCGCTTACGCTGGGCAGCTTTACAACGCTCCAGGAGAGACGCTCATCCGGTTGCCTGGAAGAAAATTCTCAATTAGTTGGCTGAAAGAAGTATTGAAATCAATAGCAATATTGCTCTGCTACTGCTTCGAACTTTAAAAGTTCGATAATTGATGATTGATAATTGCTGATCAACTTCAATGGAAAGGAGAACAGCTGACTACGAATATAAATTTGTAAAATCTGTGTTGATGTGTTACGTACTCCTTGACTGGCAGCATTCCAACGCCGCGCACCTTGAGCGTGACACGATCCTGGCTGGCCACCAGCTGTATGAACTCCTTGTGCACCGCATCCTCCAGTCGATAGCCATTGATGCGCAAGATCTGATCGCCAATCTGTGAAAAGTGAACACCAAATTAAAACGGATGAAAGGGAGTTAAGAGTGCAGAAATTCCATTTAATATTCAAATCATATTCCGAAATATTTTAAGTGTAATAGCTTTGGTTTTAGAAATTCATTTGATGAAAAATTACACAATAAATAATAATAATTTAAAACTCTTCCACAGATAAAATATATTTTAGAAAAAGAAGCTCTGATTTTAGAAATTCACTTGCTTTAATATAATTTTCAAAATGAACTTAAACCCTTTCAATAAATTAAGAAATCTTTTTTTTTTTTATAGCTAAAACTCTCGCTTCAGAAATTCACTTGCTAAAAAAAAGAATAACAAAAAAGCAACACAAAAAAAAAGTGTTGGCGATTTTCTAAGTTTTGAGACCTATAATTTATTTGTGGGTGTTGTCGTCACGTAGACGGCTATGTGGTGCTGTATACGAGATACGTGACATGACTTGACCCACTGTGGCTGTGACCCACTTACGCGCAAGCCCTTCAGCTGCGCCTCGCCCCCATGCTCAACGTGCGAGACAAAGAAACCGATGCCATGCTCCTTGCCACCGCGAACCGCAAATCCAAAGGTGGCACTACGCTCCGGCGGCACCACAAGCAGCCGTCGCTGATGCGGCCGCACCAGTCGCACTACACGCAGACGCGTGCTCGACGGCATCGCACACCACGATGATGCCGCTGTGGTGGTCAGTGTCATCACATCGCTGGAGGCGCTACTCGTTGTCGATCCTTGCATGCTGCTGCTGCTGCAGTCAGTCATCGACGTCGACGTCGACATCATCATCATCATTGCCTCAGACCACAACTGCAAAGAGAAAGGGAGGAGGGTGGAGGGAGGGATCATTAACGTGGAAGTGGAAGTATACATAGAGAATAAATATGAAGACGTGTATTGCGTGCCAACATTGAGAAGTGAAAGAATGTGCTTTGAGCAAACAGCTTCAACAAAAACACACACATCGCACACACAACAAAAAACACAAATGAGAACATCGCCGTCAGCCCGAACCGAATGAGGAATACGCTTTTTTGTTAGGCGTGACTTGGCCATTGAATAGGCATTTGGTTACGCTAGCTGAATGAGTGTGCTTTAGGATGCGGGAAGGACAAGTCATGATAGTGATATTTAAATGTCGTTCTTTAAATGAATCAGCATAATGTACACCTTTAAGTTTACCGCACTCTAGCTTCAAAGTTGTGGCAGATATGTGGTGTTATCGACATTATCTTACAACCCTAACTAAGCTTAAAAATCTTAAATCGAGAACGTGTCTTAAGAAATGAGAATGAAAATGACAGCAACAAAATGACTTGAGTATTCTTCATTTCAAATTATGAATGCGTCTATTGACCACAAGGTATATAAGAATTGTTGATCAAGAAGATAATACATAAGTATTCGATTTCATAACAATATTTGAAGACATTTAAATTATAAGTAATTTAAATTATATAAGTTCCTCAACAAAGTTGAGTTACAAGACCCACTTCTCCACTCATCTCAATCAATGGGAAAGATGCCGTGAAGCAGGTAATTTACCAACTTCCAACTACCACGATACGAATCTAAACAATAATTATATATTATTTAACCAATGGTCTAATACACTGAAATCATATCAATAAGTTAGAGATTAAGTAAGATAGTCGGATTGCCTAAGCCCAAAACTAACGTAACCCAAAGCTATTAATCAATTTGTCATACCAAGCGACTCGTTTAAAGGGTATATTACAAATGGAAGAAACTTGAACTTGCAATTGAGTTTCGAAATTGGGTCGCACGCATCGAATGAGGCGACTCTCAATGCTCAGCGTTTTGGCTGCTTTCACGCACCACACACACAGCCACCAGTAGCAGCACCAGCAGCAGCACCAGCAGCAGCAGAGATAGCAGCAACAGCAGCAGCAACAGTAGCGGCAGCGGCAACAACAACAAGTGTAGCAACAACTTGTTGCTGCGATTGGCATTCGGTGCATAATTTCACTTTTCTTTCACGTAATTCTACGCTTCACTTGCAGCAAGGGGCAATAAAAATAACAGCGACAACAGCAACCGACGGCAAACAACAACAACAATAACAACAACAACAATAACAACCATCGACAAATCGACAGGCAACAAACAAGTTGAAAATTATAGAAATTTATTATTGAAATTATGCACAATTTTAGGTTTTTTTGTTTTGGTTTTCCTTTTGAGATTCCGTTAAAGTTATAATGTTGTTTGTTGTTGTTGTTGTTGCTGCTGTTGTTGACTTACAACGTATTTATTAACTGTTTATGTGGCACTATAAATCATTTATGCTCAAATCTTTCATAACGCCAAAATGGTAGCCCAGGCACAAAAGTTCAAGTCACTTACGACCCCAGCGCAAAAGCAACAACAAAAATATAAACGAGCACAGCAAAACGAAAGACTTAGGCAACAAACTTGGTGTAATAGAAGGGCGTGCGAAACGAGTGGCTCGGTTGGGGACGCAGAGGGGTGGAGGGGGGTAAATAAAAGAAAAGGGGCAGGGACAACACTAAACGATGGTAAATATGTGGCGGCAAATTGTCTTGGATTGTGCATAACATCAGTAATAATTACGGCTGCAAATAAATACAAATACATATAAAAATGTATGCAAAAATGTTGTCGTTCGAATTTCCGCTTTATGTTTGCAGAAAGTGTTTAGGCCGTCTTCTGTGTAATTTGGTATATATGCAAATTCAAATTTCTTCCATGCTTCTCAGCCAACTTTAATAAATGATGTCAAACAATGCAGCAATGGGCGAAGTTATCGATCAAATTGACTACCCTTTATCTGCATTTGGTATGCGAGAACTTATATTCCAAATAAGAAGTTTGTAGAACTTAGAGATCGATTCGACTGTTGATAATGATCAAGAATATATATACTCTAGCTGGCTTCTTTTGGCTGTCATAGACTGTTTGCATAACATTATTATTCACTCCTCAACCATTTTCAATGGGTTTAGCTTACAATAAACACTTAGAAATAATAACTAAGAATAATAGAGTCGAGGGAACCAAGCGGATCTCCAAAGAGGGTTATTATTTGTGACAGAATTCAAAGAACAAATCGTCTTGCAAAATGTGCAATGTCTATATTTATATATAGCTGTCAAATGGAATTTAGATGGACAATAAGACAGATGTGTACTTTATTGTTCTTTCTTCAATTGTCTGATCCACAGCTGATAATTTTGTTTCGGTTTATCTGCACTTCAAGTGAAATTTTCGCAATTGAACTCAATTGTTCGAGTCTTGCGACAATTTGAATTTGACACTAAAATCCAACTAGTAAAGCACATGTCACGCACAACAGCAGAAACAATGAGAACCACTAGTTGAATGCTACGTGATGAACTGGAGATCATTCAAGTGAAGTGAAACACATTCAAGCTGGGGTTGGCTGGGGCACAGTTTTTGCTTTTTTTTTGTTTGTTTTTTTATTATAATTTTCTTGGAGGCTGGACTTTTATAAGAGCTGTAAATGCGAGTGCATAAAAAGAGCAACAACAATAACAACAACAACAACTAAACACACAAAAACATATATTATTTTGATGCCCGCATGTAGAGAAAGTCACGATTAAAAAAAGACCGGCAAAAATAATTACAGCTGCCTTTTTTTTTTGTTGGTCTCAAAAAAGCAAAGGAAAAAAGCGGGAGAAGTAGCAGCAGAGCAGATTAAGAAAACAGAGGAGGAGAAGAAGTAGAGGAAGAACGACAACAACGCAACAAGCTAACGAGAATTACTTGTAATAAAGTTTGGCTATTTTTGCTGTTGCTGTTGTTGTCCAACAAATTTCTTTCAAGCAGATGCCAGATGCAGAAGAGAAAAAAGAGCAGCTTTAACGACTTCTATGGAAATTTCGACTTGAATTTGTACACATAAATTAAAATCATCAGCCATGACAGTCATGCGGTCAAGGCAGCGACAACATCAACAACAACAACAACAACATCTACAACAACAATTGTTTTTTATTTTTTTCAATTGCAAAGCGAAGCGAAACAAATGTCAACAACAATATAAATAAAATGCGCACCGAGTGGCGGCCAGTGGCGAGAGAAATGTAACGAGTGGGCGTGGCCGGAAATGGCGAGTCGTTAGAACTAATTGCACAGTAAGCAAGTTGAAACCCGGCTTAAAGTGCAGGTGAAAGGCCAGTTACAACAACAACAACAACAACAAACTGAAAAATAATCCAAGCATACACAGAGAGTAAAATAACAGCATAATATCTGTTCTTTAATTTAAAGATCAGACTTAAGATCAGTCAAATAATATTTGATTGAAGTTAGCTAAAACTTCAATTTTAATTGCATTTTCTTTGCTATTTTTAGAGCATCTGATTTACCTAGTGATCCAGATCCACTTCCTCCCTTAAGTCAAACGGTATAATTGTTTTCTATTCCCATAAATATCTGAAACTTGTTTCGGAAATTAACTTTTCTCGAACTCAGACAAATTTGCTTGTTGAATACATCCATACAAGAAATACTTAGCACAAATTAGTCTTGAAATTTAGTGGTAAAAGAAACATAATTTATGCAAGCACGTTTTAGTTATTGTTTTTTTTGTTTTTTTTTCTGTGTACAAGACTTTCCACAGATATCTCATTGCTTGTAATTGTAACTGCCAAATAATTTGTGGCAGACTCTGCTCTGCTGATTATCATCGTAATTATGATCAATGCGGTTGCGATTGCGGCTTTTGTGATTAGCTGGACACATGACTCCAACTCCAACTTTGACTCCAACTCTCAACTCTGCATCTATCAAAGAAGCCGCCAACAACAACAACAACAACAGCAACAGCAACAACAACAACGGATGTCAATGACGAACGACGAATGACGGACGTATGTTCGGTTGCTGATAATGATGAAAGGGGACTGTCTCTTGAGAGTCTCTTTCTCTCTCTCTCTTTGTCGATTGGAATGCTCTTTCAAGCTTTCAAGTGGCAATCAAGTGGATGACTATGATATCGGTGGTAGTCTATGATCTATGGAATACACAAAGGTTATCAATCATCATTGATGATGGTGCTCAACTCTGATTGATGTTTATTTCAGCTGCATGTCTTTTTGTTTTCCTGCCCCAACGCCTGCCAGCCAAAATATCTAAACACATTTTTAGAATAGTTGTTGAAAATTAAAAAAAAAGTAAGTAAATTAAATTAAATTAATTTAAGAACTTACAGAATTGGTTAACATCTTTTCATTGGCCTAAGCAATATTTATAATTATATCAAATATAAATAATAGCAAGACCCAGTTGCAAGCAAAACAAAAAATAAATAAAAATCACTTTGCTTAAAGTGTGTTGTGGCAAGTCAATGAAAGCAATGAAAAAGCCAGCCACACAAGTGACGACTTTGCCATTGACAGCTCATTAAACTAGCTGACTACACCTGACACCGCTCCCCACCACACACACACACACACACAGACACACACAGACACACACACACACATACACACAGACACACTTTGCCATCTTCGCCAGCGCAAGTTATGCGCTGCCTAATGAGGCAAGTGTTCTGCTTTGCAGCATCGCTTCGCCAGCAAGTTTATTGCCCAAGTCATTTGATTTGGCATGCAATGCAAAACGATAGTAAAAAACAACACAAATAGAAAGAAAAACCACAGTGGCAAAAATAAAGTGCTGACAAAGGCAGCGCTTGCTTTAATTATGTGCAAAATTTAACAAAGCAGCGGACATACATATACATATATATATATATACATATATATTTTAATTAACACAAAAGAAGAAAAAAAAAGAAGATA